ATGCGATTTCAATGGGGAACCGAGCCGCCGCGCGCGGGTCTACTATAGATCGCGGCCGCGCAGCAACTGCCGACCATTCATATCTGCATAGCAGCTCGGATTGGGCGCACGTGCGGCTCGACCTCTTAGACTAGCTAACTTCGGCGTTCAATGCTGTTGAATGTGTTGAACACAGGTTCGATACTTTGTAGAAGGTGATCCAGAAAACCCTCGGCGGAAGACTTGCGTATCATTGCGGCCCAGCGGCCCAGCGCAACACATGCACCATAGTGTCTATGACTTGGTTTGAAGCCGCCACTTTATAACCTTCTTATAAGAAGACCACTCAATCAACCCGTATCTCAAGACTTGGCTACGCTGGACTCTGCATCCGTGGGCGGTCAGATTATCAAGGTCGGGCCGCTTGATATTCCTCAGTGTCCTTGAGAACTGGAGAACTCTGCATGCACTTCGAAGCGCGACGCACCATGCATTAGCATTCAATGTGCGAGGCAGCGCCGGTGCAAACAGATCTGCTTCGATGGCTGATCGAGCCGAGTCCCGGTCAGATGGACTCAAGCTAAACTGATCGGATTCGTAGAGTCAATCATATGCGGAATCTAAAATATGGCCCCCCGCTCAAGATTGTCAGCAGGTCTTCTAAGCGAATCATGCACAACAAGAATAACCAGCACAGCTAACAGCTGCTACAAACTATCACTAGGTCTATGCATTTGCCACTCATCCTAGCTAGCAGAAAATTCCAAGATGCAACTCGCTGCAGAATCTATATCCTGATTAAAGTGCAACTCGTCTAACCGACCTTACGGGCCCGGCAAGTCGCCAACCCCAATCATCAACCTTGACTGTCATGGAGGATCTGGCGATCTATACGTATGGCAATTGCGTGCTAACAACAAACCTCTAGGGGTATCAATTCGACAGACCCTTCAGGCGCTGCTCTTCATAGAGCGGCCCGTAAAAGTGCTGCGCCGCGTCGAGCAGCTTCCACGTTTCGTTCGTACCGTGGACAACCAACGTCTGGTTGGTGTAATCATGGGCCCAACCACCTGTGGCAAGAAATTGGGATCCCGCTTTGTACTAAAATCTCCTCTCATCGTCGGGAAGTTTGGTGGTAAAACGGATATCAGGTTCGTGCCAAGGACGCTCGTTCCGGAGCAGACACGGTCTCTGACTTGAGTCCTCACAGAGCACAAAGGATCTAACAAGCTTTCAGACCGCCAGAAGGCTGGTTGATTGGACGATGCAAGCACTGTTTTCAGCGGCAACAAGGGCTCACAGCGAAGGCGCCCAAGAGAAGGTTACGAATCAAGCGCTTCGTGCTTTCCGGCCAAATCAAAAGTTTGGAGTTTCCTGAAGCTGCTGCCCGAGTTCGCGATTCAGCATACTGAAGGTGAACTTCTGACTGGACCTTCATGTCAAGTTTCCACTGGCTTGTCAAAACCTGAGCCAAAGGATTTGCTGCCACGTCCGACAAAGATGAAAGCTTTTCCAATCCTTCTTACGTGAGAGATTACTCCCAAGCTCGATACACTGTTCTGCGCCTCTCTTAACGTTCCATCCCTGACAAGCCGTCTCATGCGAGGCTGAAGGACACCTTAGACGGTTGGACCTATAGCACCTAGACATGCATCATCGCCCCAGCCTCCACAGCCTCACATGGCCAGAACTTTTCGACTCTCAACAACAGATTGTTTGCTCTGACGCGCTTGCATCCGATTGTCCGGGGTAAGGACACGAACCCACACACTCCAGGTCATGAGCCGCAAGCCAAGCAGCTGGTCAATCCCGCGCTCGATGATAAGCGCCCACAAACACTAGGGGCGGGTACGCTTACCCGTCCCAGACAGCGGGGTGTCGTACCACTCCTCGCGCTTGGCGCTCGACCAGTTGACCCCCCCGTGCAGTTCGAGCACGTGCTTCATGCGTGGGCTGCCCATGTCAGCGGTCAGCACCCCAGGCACTGAGTAGCCAATCCATTGAGCGAGGTCCCAGGAAACCACAAAGGCCGAGCGCGCGGCGCCAGACCCGTCGTCCAGGAAGCGGCCCCAGTAGGTGAAGGGCTTGCGGGGGAGCGAATGAAAATACTGCGAGGCGCTGAAATAGGGGTGAGACTCGAAGGACAATAACGCATCGAAGAGCTCCAGCCGAGGGAGCAATTTGTCAGTTGAGTTTGCAGATGAGCTTTTGGGATTAATCCTTGTTCAAGCCGCAACTCTGAGAATTGTAAGGCTTTCTCAACAAGATCTGTCTTCCAAATCTTGAGTTTTGCAGTTGCAATCCCGACACAACCCTGTGAATTTCGCGGAGTCTCGTTCAAGGCGGCTGCAGACCCGCGTATGTGCGGTGAGCTGCTTTCCAACAGGTGACGAACAGAGCGGGCTTAAATTGGCCACTGTTTTTGGGCATGATCCTCAAGGAAGAAGGAAGCTGTTTGCAAGGCAGAACTTAAGACCTCGTTTCGTATAGGGAATTTTTCGCATTTGCCTGTTCTTTACCCTAGGTACAGCACACAATCAGAGTACGGGTCCTCAACCAGAAACCTGCCATCGCCTTGGGGCAGCTAAAGAAGAAAAAGGCAGGGGGGATAAGAATGAAGCGGAAAGGCTTACCGTGAGGAGGTTCGGCAGGTGCAGGAAAGTGTCGTCCTCGGCTTTCATGACAAAGCTGTATGCCACCGGCACTCGGCTCCTTGCTCGAGACGCCATCAGCTTGGGAACCCGTAAAGCAGCCGCCTTGAACCACTGTATGAGGAACGCAACCATGAGGAACCTACTACTTTGGCAGAAGTTGTGAGGCCAAGATAGTGTCAATGTGTCTTTTCCGACCTGGCTTTAATTGAGTGGATGTTTGGAATCAAGGTGAAAGGTGGGAAATAACAATTCTCCATTATGACAGCATTTGGGAATTCCCACATGGTTGCAAAGGAAAACGGCTTTCAAATGCAAGCTCTGCTGAAGCAGGGCAGACATTCCAGAGAAAAGCTAGTTTCTCTATTCACAAGTGGGATTTGCCAAATCCTAAAGCAAGCCTGGGCACAGTCATTCAATGCACCACACCACCACCGTCGTTTTGTCCACATCAATCAGAACCCTGTCATTGAACCCTGTTATAACTGCTCCACAAACTTCCTTGTGCCTTGCGGTCAGGATGGATCCATTGAAGACCACCTGCAGCTAGCAGCATCCCTTTCACAATCAAAGCTGTCACCTTTCTGTCTATCACATGTCAAAGCTGCCACCTTTCTGCCTTCGCCTGCCACCTTTCTGCCTTCGCCTTCACTCGATTCTTTCCTCAAATTTGCACCAAACTTGACATATCTCTTGAAAACCCAGCCACTCCCTCCTGGCCAAGTCCTTCAGCCCCTGCTCAAACGATCTTTCTTGATATGGATTGTCAAAAGTACTCAAGGCCTCTACATACTTCTATGGCTGAAGGTCGACTGCATGGATTACTCTTTCCCTTGGATTATCAGAAACCCTCACCGCAAACGCAAGGCCATCCTCGTCGCTCATTGTGTCATTCAACACCACGATGTCCCCAAACTTCTGCGCCTCCAACTCCAGCAGCAGCCCCATCTTCTCGTCCTCCTGCCTTGGGAACACGAACACCACGTCCACCCCTCGCGGCACCACCGGCGAATACACCTCCCGCAGCATCGCCCTTTTCTCCATCGCGTCCGAATGCGTCACAATTCCAACTAGAAGCGTCCGGTCATCTGGCCGTCCGAGGATGGAGGTCGCCACTTTCTGGAGCTGTGTCTGCGTAGTGCTTAGAGTGGTCTTGAAAGCGGTGGCGAGTTGGAAGGCAGCCTGGCCCGCGCCGGATGCGCACCCTGGGCTGCTGTGTAGCTTCCCGATGTAGGTCAGGGACAGGAGGAGCGAGACCAACAGTGCAAATATAAGCAGGGAGGTGCCGAAGCCCCGGCAGCATAAGCTATTTGCTTTCTTGCCTGCTGTTTCCGCTGCTTGGAGGGCGCGGTTCTTGGCTCTTGAACTCTTTCGCCAGTCAAGTTTGAGTTCAGGACTGGAGGTGCAGAGCGCTTCAAGGTCGTCGTCATCAGACGCGATCTTGTAGATTTGTTTCTTTTGGGGGGGGCGGTTCCAGCGGAGGAGACGGCTGAAGAACTCAACCAGCTGCTTTGGTCCCAACATGGCTATCTTCACTTTCTATTTGTACTGGCAGCTTTTGTTGGTTGAAGTTTAGCTTACAAGAAATCTTGGTGGCTTTCTTAGCGCTGCAGCGCCTGTTGCTAGAAGGAGGGGAGGAGTTGTCGCTGCACCCTCGGAAGAAAAGCTCAAGGCTTCTTGCGGAGGCGTACCTCAGTGCCGTTCACGTCAGCTGCGGGCGTCTGACCAGACTGTTCTCAATGTCTGATATTAGGCAAGGGGGGAGAAATGAACTGCTCACAGATTGCGTGTCAGTACTGCAGGTAACTTTGTGCATGATTTTGGAAGAGCATGTGAGGAGACTTGTGTTCTGCCATGGCAACAATAAATGGATCGTTGAAGGAAGGGTGCCTTGTTGATGTCAGGAATGCGGGAATGCGGGAGAGGACGTCCTTCTCGCAGGCTGTAGCTTGTAGTGCTGCTCACTGGGTCTTCAAACAAACCCTAACCGGAGTTTTATACGGCCTAACCCCATGGTTTTTGTGAAGCTCGTGTCTCTGGTCTAGAAAGCGCCATACTGGAGGAGGGTTCTCAAATAGAAACCAGTTCAGGTGCCAAAGGCCTGTCTCGCTTTCGACGTGCAACATTCGACTACCTGAACACGATGTAACGGCCAGTCACAGTACAAGCTGTTAACCCGGCCCTCTAAGCACAAACGGCCCGTGCGAACTTTCCGCAAGTGCAAGAGGGACGCTAACCCCGGCGAAAGCTTCGAAGTTCGACGATCTCTGTATACCGTAGCCGGATGGATGCCAATGGAATGCTACGGACGGCTTGCGTTGCCTATGTCCTACCTATCACACTTGCACCGTCCGATAAGCAGTAGTAGGTCGAACGGCAGAGAAAGGTTGCAGCTGAGCGCTCACTACCTTCGCAGTGGCCATCTTGTTGCACGCGCAAAAGCGCGCGGCAAAGGTGTAACTAGGATGGCCAGGATTCAAAGTTACAAGCGAACCTGGCAAAAAACTCATCAGCACTTAATTATGGCAGGCTGACTCCTGAGCCTTCAAGTCACCTTCAAAATCAGAGCGGAAGGACAAGCTTCGAGCAGCTTGCAGGACAATTCAGCAGGCCCATTTGATTTTGGTAAGCCGGTGAGCATGGATCCGGGGCCGTCAACGTCTGCGTCAGTAGCGCGCCAGACATGGGAGCTGGAGAATAATGTTGAGGAGGTGGAGGCGGATAAGATCTTTAGATATGATGAAGCGCAAGCCAGCCAGACACAGGCCCAAAAACCCTGGACAAAAGACCCCCACTTCTTCAAAAAAGTGCGCATCTCGGCGCTCGCCCTTCTCAAAATGGCTGTGCACGCGCGATCGGGTGGGACAATTGAGATCATGGGGATCATGCAGGGCAAAACAGACGGAGACACAATGATTGTGATGGATGCCTTTGCGCTTCCGGTTGAAGGAACGGAGACGAGAGTCAATGCACAGGCTGACGCTTACGAGTACATGGTGGAGTATGCCCAAGCAAACAAGCAGGTAAGTTTCAAGGATCATCACTTGTCAACTTTATTGTTCGTCTTCTGAAATCAATCTAAAATCCTCCATAACTCTATCTTTGGCATGCACCACCATGTACCAAGCATCAGTTGATGCGGTGTCACAGAAAAAGAATGAAGATATTAAAGCCATCTTTGAATGAAATCCATCATGCAGAACTGTTCCAAAAGTCTGTAAAATTCTAGGAAGCAGACAATGAGTCCAAGCCTTTCGCTCTTTCCAACTTTAACGATCTGGCGCCACACGGACAGCAACTGGTGGTGCAAATGGGAGTCAAATGAGACACCAACGAAATGAAAGGAGAAAGACAGAAAACTAGACTTGTGTCCAATCAAGTCGACTTTGCCGGACATCTGGTGTTGAACAACCTGCAGGTCGGAAGATTGGAGAATGTCGTCGGCTGGTACCACTCCCATCCAGGTTATGGCTGCTGGCTGTCCGGGATTGATGTCTCCACGCAGATGCTCAATCAGCAGTATCAGGAACCGTTTCTGGCCGTGGTCATTGACCCAACACGGACAGTGTCAGCGGGGAAAGTAGAGATTGGAGCATTCCGAACATATCCCCAGGGTTACAAGCCCCCAGATGAACCTGCTTCAGAGTACCAGACAATCCCTTTGAACAAGATCGAAGATTTTGGCGTGCATTGCAAGCAGGTAAGATTAACTGGGACGACAGTGAACTCCTCTGATTTTATCTGAGTTGAGCTTGTGCTTACAAGTGGCCTCATTGGTGAACAACCAATAGAAGTCGATCATAGGTCTTCATCTGGGCTTTTCAGAGTTTCGTGTGCATTTTGGGTTAACTTTCTGAACTCGGGCAATCTTGTGATGTTGTTGCTCCATATCTTGTAGTCTTGTCCGCTTTGGTCCTAGCTCCGACTGTCTCTAGTTCGTTTCTTCAGATGAATATCGCGTTTCTGCTTGCCCATGTCATCTTTTTGCATCTCTTTTTACGTATGTTTCATCATCTTCACTGCTCCTCATGTCGTTCTTGGTGCAGTATTACCCTCTTGACATCACCTACTTCAAGTCCTCTCTCGACTCCCACCTCCTCGACCTGCTTTGGAACAAGTACTGGGTCAACACGCTGTCCTCCTCTCCTCTTCTGGGAAATCGGGACTACGTCGCCGGACAGATTTCCGACCTAGGTTGGTTCCTGACCTCCTTATAAGATGGACTTCTGAGGAGAAGCACAAATCCATGGCACATCCTGTAACTCACTTGTATCGCTGTTGGCGGTGTACCAAACAGACGTCCTTTTCCGTTGCTCCAACCACTTGTGGCCAGCGTTCTGTTTGTTAGGCTAAGTACAAGTGGCCACCTTCTAAATCCATATCTTCGTGCATTTGACAGAAATTTTTGTTAATCGCAATCGTTTCCTGCAGTAAACCAATTCCCTTGTTTACGTTGTTGTTGCAGCTGAGAAATTGGAGCATGCAGAGACTCAGCTAGCACATTCAAACCGATTAGGAGGCGGCTTCCTCATGATGACGGCGAAGAAGAAGGAGGTAAGACTACTGGTGTCCTGTCACGCACCCGCTTGTGTTGGTGCGCCGACGTTGCTGACCTGTCGTTATAATCTTCAAGGCTTTGGGGCCTTATTGAGCTGTTCATGCAGCATGTTGCAATCAAGATCTGCTTGAGTTTGCTGCTGCCGCCATTCTGATGGAGACGGTCTGCTGTCCTGTCCAGATGAAGACAGAGTATCAAGAGCATGCACGTAGTACGAGGATGTCAGATCCGAGTCTAATCTGAGGTTTGCCACTGCTTGTGTTTCTCTTAGGAGGAGTCTCAATTGTCAAAAGTGGCAAAGGACAGCTCGAAGATCACGGTGGAGCAAGTGCACGGCCTCATGTCTCAGGTGAAGATTCACTTTTCTTTCGCCATTCAAGTTTCTGTAGAAGGCTAGCTTCTTTCTTCTCGGCCAATTACCAGTCGTTGCCTTAAGAGCCTTTGTCCGCGACTCAGAATCCTGACTTTTACGACCTTGGATTGTTAGGCATAGAGCTGCTCAGCTGATCTCAACGTGCACTCGTATCCGATCGAAGTGCGCCTTCGAGGATGTCATGCTTGTTATGATCAAGACAGGTGCCTGGTTCTTGTATTTTAAGAACGCCTCGTCACGTGTCTTTTCGCAGGTGATCAAGGATGTACTTTTCAACAAGAAGGCAGTTGCGAACAGCGCAAGCAGTGCGAACGGCCCTGCACCAATGACAGAATAGCAGCGAAGTGGGAGTACATCGAGCTGACGAGTCCGAACTTGATTCTTCAGAAGCGAAATGAGATGGATCAAGATACCACCGCAATTCTCTGTTCTCGCTGCATGCTGCCATGTCAATTGAAGTTTCAAGGAGCTCTGTGGGACGGTGACCCCAATTGTTAACAACATTCAAGTATGTGCACGGCATGATTGAAGGATTGCAGTATGACGATACACATGTCATGTCAATGAGTGTCTGTACATTATTAAGCACTTCGATTTATGTGAGTCGATCTGGCCGATCATTAGCCTGGTGACATTAGTGATTGCTTGAAAATTATCTGCATGTGTCACTATGTAGAGTAGAGAGTGTTGTACCACTGGTAGACGTGCATGTTCTACACCGTGGCCTAAGCAGGCAGGAGATTCACTGCACTTCTGGGCGGCACCGTCATGATGATCCACATGAGGTTCAACCTGTGCACATAACCCTTCATATGTAGGCGCCAAGCAAACTGGCGATTGTGCGACCAACTTGAGCTGAGCAAAACCAACATGGCGAAGAGGCTGGATCCAGCGGGCCATGCAGTGATGCAACCGTAACAGCCATCAGGCATAATACAGGAACCGTCTTGACAAACCAAAGTAAAGACCTGAATCGCAGCGTGCTCGATAGACAAGTATGTATGAGCTAGGTCAGAGCGCATGTTTTCCTTCTGATGTCACCTTGTAAATACTGCAGGCAATGTGCCATGGACTAATATCAATCAGCTCCTGCATCGCTTACAATGGGACCGCGCTCGCTTACAATGGGACCGCGCTTGCACGGAATGACCAGCGGCAGCATGGGCAGGCGCCTAGCCCGCAGCTTGCTCTGTTCTGAAGAATGTTTCTTTCCCGCATGAAGAACTTTTAATGCATCCCGTTGTCCGGCCCCGCCGCCTCCGTTGCAAGCCGTGCACCCTTCTTCGTAGGTGACTCAAGCGAATGCCGTTCCATGACCCGCGCAAGCGCAATCGCCGCCGCCTGATTCGGCGTCAGCTTCCCCTCTTTCATCACTTCCGCAAACTCCGCTTTGACCTCTTTTTGCACGACTTCCCTGCTCACGTTCAGACTCTTTCCACTCCCTGTGCTTCCGCCCACACCCCCGTTTGCAACCGGACCAGCAACTGCTCTTCCGTTCGAATTTCCCGCCGCCGCTAGTTTTGCTCGCGCCTCGGCTGCTGCCGCTGCTGCCGCCCGAGGCCCTGTCAGCGACGCGCCCGCCGGCGCCCCATTTGTCGAGGCTGGCACATCCCTCGATGCCCGGAGCTCCTGTGCGGTCGCCGGCGAGGGGACGGCCTTGGCTGGCGCGACGGGGGTTTGCAAATTTTGGCTCAGATTCGCCAGGTGCGGCGTAACCGGGGTGCCAACGGGCGAAAGGTTCGCAGGTGGCCGGGAAAGACTCGGTGTCCGAGCCGCCGAAGGTGCACCGACGCTACTTAGCCCGGGCCTTACTGGGGTTTGAGCAGGGTTTAGGAGTGGGTTTGACGAGTTCTGCAGAGGGTTAGGCTGCGGGTTAGCGTAGGGGTTAGCCTGTGGGCTGGGCTGGGGGGGCCTGACCGCCGCAAAGTCGAGAGGGGGTGCATTGAAGAGGGCTTGCGACGGGACTTGGTTGCCGCGCATGCCGGTCTCCATTTGCTCAATGAGGGGCGCGAGCATCGCCCCGAATGGGGAGCTGAGAACACGCTGCGGCAGCTCCAGGATGTCGGAGGGGATGCCGGTGCCGGTCAGGAAGGTGCTGAGCTCGTTGGAGAAGTGGTTGCAGTTGTGGCGCATCAAGTTATACGTCTGCGGGCACACCGCCGCGTCAGCAGAGGCCAGGAAAGAATATGGACGCTTTCGGCGGTTATAGGCCAGAGATCAGAAGTAACAAAAGACGCAAAGAAGCGAGGCGTACGAAACGAAGCTGTGAATAACCAACAGTACAGTCAGTCAAGCGGCTGGCTGCTAGGGCAAGCACTCTTGCCTCAGAAGGTCAGGTTCAAGCAAAAACAACATACGATTGCAGAACAGCTTACGAAGCCTTGGAAAGCAAACGAGACAGGGCAGGGATCGTGCAAGCTGGCCAAACTTACAACCAGAGCTGGTTCATACAGTTTTCTGACACAAAAACGGAGAGAAAAGCAAGGATGCTCACATAGACGCTGTACCGGTCCTTGATTTCGTTCAGGAAGTCTTCCACCAGCTCGAGGGGTACTTCAGTTCTTCCAAGGGGGACTGTTTTGACTGGATTGCCGTACTGGGTCCTCCCTGGGCGGCCTGTTTGAATGCCTCCGCCAAAGAAGTACTCTCGCCCATATACCACCACACCAGTGTGCCTGCAACGAGTATGCTCTTTGTGAGAGTCGCCCTATTGTAAAATCAACTTATCCCTGAATTAAGAGTTTTTGGAGCAGCTCATCAACGATGGACGGGTGGTGCACTGCAGATCAGATATCTGAGCGATCCTGAGCAAGGTGTTAATCATTGCATGTACACAGGAGGTGTCTCAACCATGAGACAGTCCACAAAAGAACTCTGTCATGAGAGATTTTGTCAAAACGACAGGAAAAACAGGTGCGACGCTTGTGCGGATGGTTGATGATAACCAGAAACTTTGCAACAGGAAACAGATTGATAATGTAAATCTTACAACTTCAATGCAGCTCCTCAAAATAGTTTTGGGTACAGCTTCACTGTAGATTTGAGTGAGTAACAAAATACCTGGCTCTCTTTTCTGTGCATCTGATTGAAAGTTGAAGGGTGCACAGAGACAAAGGATGGACAAAAGTGATCATATAACAGCAGAACTTCCAGCCAGTAATTCATCAACCTGACTTACCATATTCCTTCCAACATCTGCCCCAGGAGTGCTCCAGACAGCTGCCTAGCCAGGCCCTGACTCAAGTCATAGACATGGAGGAGCACCGGCTCTCCTTCCTGGACAAGGCCAAAATCAATGATCAGCTTATATTCTGTGGTCATCACGACCATCGAAACTGTAAATACCTTCCTGCAGTCCCATGGAATAAAGTGCAAAATTGTACAAGTGTGGAGTCGACCCCTTTATATGCTTTCCTCGACTTTCTTCTACATAGTGCACCACTCGAAAGCACCGAGAGCTGGTGCCATACAGAGCTTTCCACTCCAAAGCTTCAAGGTCAGACCATGTTAGATCATCCAACATTCTGCAATTTGCCCAACATCAGCATGTCCGCAGGACCAACTTTGATAAGGAAGACCTCTAAGGAAGCCCAGAGCCTCGTGTTTCATACCTCAGATGCCATTTGCAGCTCTTGGAAGCCCGCTTTTCCTCGCGACCGTGCCTCCAAAGACGGGGTTCAAACACAAATCAGCTGCTCCCTTCACGACAGTTGATCCAAAGTCCCAAGACCTTTCAAAGTTGAATCAGCTTCAAGCTACCTGTGACCCTCTCTGCTCCAGCAGATCCAGCGTCCGCTTGTCTTCCAAAGGATGCACGATGCTGCGCCCTGCTTTGGCAAGTTTACCCCTCGCCTGACTACGACTCTTGCCTGGGTGTCTTGCCTGCACTGGCAGAAGTCCTCGAGCTGCTTGGCAACCTGCGCAGGGAAACTTCTGGAACCTGGTCTAAACCCGGGTTAGGACTTCGAAGTTCGGTGGTTCCCTTGAGGAGAACCAGAGGGATGCCGCTGGTGCCGGTTCTAAAAACGATTGTCACCATCAAGCTTTGCGCCTGTTTCTGCGCAGCTATAGGTCCAGCCGACCCCTAACGTGTCTAGAAACGTCAAGCAAGGGGTTGCCCGGGCCGGTCGACAGCTCAGAGTCAGGGCGATCGAGGTTTGTGGAAACCCCTTGCCACCTGCTAGCTAGCTTGTGCCACCACTGCTGTGGTAAGGAAGTGAACGTCCATGTGAGGATCTCTCGCGAGCTGCATTATGCAGCTATGGTAGCAGCTCAACACACCCATTTAATATTTGTTGCTTCTACACTGAAGATGGTGCGATCTTTGTTGCGGTATCCAAGTGAGCTGACGCCTGGCAGTAGCAGCTGGTGGATTGTCAGTTGAACTGAGTTGGCGGGTGCTACCGTTAAACTGATTTGCTGGCGGTGATCTTGTTCGCTTCTTGTATTGACTCAAACATTGCTGACACTCAAGAAGAGGGAATTTCCAAGGGAGATGGCACGTCGAGCTTTTCTCACTGGAACGTGCTTTCTGCTAGCATTTGGGATACTGGCTACATTGCAGAATGCTTTTGCTACAGACATTGGTTCTTCTGCCACTGGGATGGCAATCCAGGTGCAGACACAATTAACCCCTGTTCTGGATCCTCAGAAGCAGAACATCACTCTTAGAGTCGCTGCGCCTATCGAAGAAGGGACATATCCACTCGTGGTTTTCCAGGTGAGCTTGAGCGACATTGCGCGATGGCACCTTAGTCCCCTCAGTCCTTCATCAGATGGCCCAGTGAACAGCATTGCAGTTAGCATGTTCAGGGTCAGTAGGTTTTTCTGGAGAAAGGCTGAGGCAAACTGCAGAATACAGCTCTTCTATCAAAATCTGGTAGACTGCGGGGCTCCCAGACTGCGTGACATCTCCCATCAAATAGGAGTCTGACAAACTTGATATTCAGGGTCCTTTATGGGCAATGTGCTTTAAGCTGTGGTTCCCCAAGTGTTTTCTGCGAGGCTCAGGATACTTTGGCTCAGGATACTTTCACCACCAAAGGCCAGAGAACTCAGCTAGCTACTTGCTGTTGCAGCACGGTACCAGTCTGTTCACGGGCTGGTACTCCACGCTTCTGAACTACACTGCATCTCAGGGATACATCGTCATTGCCCCTCAGGTGAGAGGACAGGCCTTCTGGAGAACTCCATAATGATCGAGGTGTTTGTTTGGCGCATTGGTCTTCTATGAGTAGATTGGCTCAAGAGCCTGATAGCTGAACAAAGGAGCAAGGATGACGCAGTTATGGAGGCTGCAACTGCATAAGACTGCCTGCCGTAGATAATTTAAGCAGCGTGTTTCTCTGAAGAGTCGCTTGATACGGTGCCTCAAATGTTGCTTGACATCCTTAGCATTTTCGGCTGGCATCCATTTGCATCTCATTTGATCTTGTTTCAACCACAAGATCCATTGTCTCCGAGCCCTGAAGCAATGAACAGCAGGAAGCTTCCTGACAGGGCCTCTTCACAACCGGTTTTCAGAAGATTTGCGCACGGATGCATCGCTCTGAAGAGTAGGGACTTCAAAAGTCTTTTGTCATTCCGACAATCAGCTGCAATGTTAAAGATTATTCTGTCACAATAGCCCCGTCACAGGAGTGGCTGTAGCGTTTGGGCGTTGGCTTTCAGGGTCCAGCGAAAGGAGGGCGTCCTTCAATCTTCATGCTTTCATAGTCTCCGAGTGTTAACAATTCAAGTATCAGTTGGCATCGACTCCGAAAAGAAAGCAATCTCCAAATCCCTGCAGATGTACACGTCCTTGTTCCCCTCCGGGTGTACACTCTGCGTCCCCACAACCGATGCTTTTGTCGAGATTCAGAACGCAGCCGACGTCTTCAAGTGGGTGACGGACGGGGCTCCATTAGTGTTACCTGCCAATGTCGCCATCAACTTCAGTAGCGTTGCTCTGGCCGGTGAGGATGCTTGAGTTCAAACGGCTGCTTTCAGTTACGAGAGAAAGATGCCCTGCTTCTGAGTCCGAAGTTTCTGTACTACTTGATCATGAAGCTTTGGCGTTTTCGAAAGTTTAGCTCACATTTTGGCTTGACGAAAACTTTCATAGGTTTCCCTTTCCTCAAAATCCTGCTCTCCGCTAAGCCGCTTGTCCTAAGTCGCTCGTTCTAAGTCGCTCGTTCCCGCGGTCTTCATCAAGAAGCCAAGCCTTTGGAGACAACGTCCTTGTGACCATTCACAGAGCTCAAAGGTCTTTCACATTGATGTCAACCACATCTTGGAGGAGTGGCCATCAGTTTGATTGGTTCTTGTAACTCCTCTTTAGAACTTGTTGCTCAAATGAATCAGCCACAAACGGTACCCTGAGTACAGAAGACGGATTGATCCGTGAACGAGACAGAAACACGTGCACCCAGAAGTTTGACCAACTTGCCCCTGCCTTACAGGTATGGTCATTAACAATGAAGGCTGGATCAAGGAATACTTTAGCCCACTTCAAAAATGACGAAAAATTGGAAGCAAGTCTAATTTAAAAATACTTTGGCCCACTTCAATAATGACGAAAGATTGAAAGAACCAGTAAGATTCCTGTCTCTCAGGTGTTCAATATCAACAAAGAAGGCTAGACTGAGGAATGCTTTAGCCCACTTCAATGATATGTACGAAAGATTGAAAGAGCTAGCACTTTGATGCGGAGACAGAAGATGCTGTGAAACTTGCAGGTCACAGCCGGGGAGGCAAGGTCGCGGCCGGCCTGGCAGAGAACATGTTGGCGACGGACGTTAGCTTTCAAGCCTACGTGGGGCTCGACCCAGTCGACGGGGGGCCTTATGCCACGGTAAGGTTTTAGGATCTCGGGTTTCAGGGTCTAGCGAACTACTTCGAGTCGTAAGCGATGGACCTATTAGGTCAACTGGGTGCCTCCAAGTAGCTTCACCCTAAGTCAACAGATTTCCAAGGTGGTTGGATCAAAAGTCGTCTTTGATAATCGACTTTCTGAGCCGGATTTGATGGACCTTTGTGTGGCTCTTGGAAGCATTTTTCGAAGTATACCTCCATCGACTCCCCCTCTTCAGGCTCCCAGTCTTCCCTGATGGAACTTTTCTACTAAACCTAGCAGCGAACGCGAGCAAATCGTGGCCGACCGCCACGTGAATATCCGGCGCCAGAATCATCAATCTTCGAATCCTGCACTCGTGTGCGGCTTCTCACTACCTAACTCCAAGTGCCAACTTCCACTTGTAAGCGGCATTGAATGTTCCAGCCTTCTTACGTTTCCAGCCTTTAACGTCTCTCCGTTTTCAGATTTTTAAGTTGCGGATGTGGCACCTGTTTACTTTCGCTTCAATTGACCAAGGACCAAGTTCTATTCTGCAGGCCCCCAGCCTGCCCCCGACCTCCAATTGCTCCGCCCCTCACTCCACCTTCCTCAACGCGCCCGCCCTCCTCTACGGCTCCGGCCTCGGCGCCAGATCCATCTTTCCCGGTGCGCCCGCGTGCGTCCCCCCGGCCGTAAGCTATGCCCACTACTTCGGCTGCTATGGCAACCAGACATACGAGCTCGTCGCCACCGACTACGGCCATATGGACTTATTGGACGATAACCTCTCGGGCTGCTGCCAGCACCCGCTGAACTGCGCGGCCGCGGCGCTGTGCGCGGGCGCGAGCGCCGGGTTCAGCCGGGGCCTCCTGAGGACTTATCTCGGCCAGCTGGTCGTAGCGTTCTTGGACTCTGCTCTGAAGGTGGGCACGTGTCTCCGAATCCGTTCTTGCCTGGGTTTCAGGTTTTAAGGGTTTCAAAACCCTGGAACGTCTTTCGCATTTTCTTCATTCTATCAGTCGGGGCACGAGTCTCGGGCTTGCTTCTCCGACCTTTCCTCGCCCTATTGGCCGTCCTGTTTTACTGCGCACGTACTTTGAGCACGTTGCCTCTATGTTTCTTTACTTCTCATACGTTGACGTCAGCGGATGCCAAGGAATTGCTTTTGTCTTGAAACGACCGTTCTGGCACGAGGTCCAGCACACGTGCCTTGGGCTTTGTTTCGGCTTTTCCCTTGCTTTTTTGCGGATTGATCCGTCCCTCCAGCTTCGCTCACCTTACGACCCTTTCTGTTTGTCGGACGAGGAGTTGCCTTGGAACAAATAATGTACATAGTCCGTTCATCTTTGTGAAAGGAGCACGTGCCTCGAGCGTGCCTCTCTGTCCATTTGTGCCCGATCATTCGAAGCAACAGGTCTGCACGTGCCATGACAAGAGATCTCTCCCCTTCCTCGCTTGATCTCGTGAGGTGCATGCGTGCACCGACCTCGCATGCGCTCGGTTTCTCTTTTCATTTGAGCCCTTCTGACCCTTCTGACCCTTTTGGCCCTCCTGACGCGTGCCGTTTCTGGCAATAGATTTGCTTCTTCACTTCTCTGGGATTAACTTTACCAACCAGTAGACTACGGGCTGCACACTAGCATGCCCGCTCGACAGTATCTGACGAGTACTAAGTCGGACGCACATTTCTGATCCTGCAGGGGCAGTCCGGCGCTTTTGAGGAGTTCTTCGAGAACTGGAAAAAGGCTCCTATTGCACTCAAAGACGTCCAAGCATATCCCCCTTCCCTTGAGCGTGCCTCCAGTTGAGATGGTTCGTGTGAGTATGGAAGACTTAATGCTGCAAGTGTTCCTCTTGTAGCAATCCGAGCTTCTGTGAGGGTTGTGCATTTGTAAGTTTAGGGGCTACTCTCTTCAAAAGAAAGAGGATGTGCACCTGATCGCCTCGCAACTGAAAACAATGAGAACTGCGTCCGGAGTGTAGCGACCGGCAAGCTTACGTTACTGCTAGCGAGGATTTCGTGAGTTTAAAAAGAGCTATTTAAGGGATGGTCCGACCGCGAAAAGGACGATCGGACTACCTTATCGTCGCTCGGCAGATAATGGTTTATTTTTGTTAGAAGTGTAACGACGGTTGAATTCTCCAGAGCTGCAAAACGTATTAAGGAGATGGCGACTTCCTGTCGTAAGTGATCAGTATATGAAAGATCGTCACCAAGGCAAGTTAAAGGTGACGCCTTAGCTTGTCCGATCCTAGTCGAAAAGCCAGATCGACTGATACACGTCGCTCGAAGCAATCGTTCTTTAAACTGTGCGTCTGATCATATTGCAAAAGTGCTGGCATAGTATAAGGTGCTTAAGAATGAGTTGCCTGGCAAATGCAATACACGGAAGTACATGCCCCTTGCAGCCTGCACGTAAGTCGGTACGTGAATTACTGAGTGTCAGCTTGCTACCAGACCTCGCCGTACACGCGTGACGCATGTTCAATCCGGACACATACTACGCCAACTGTACGTCGATCAGATGTACCATCATTAAGGAAGGAGGCGCATCATTATTGGCCCGCATATACTGAGTGTGAGGCAATTGCATCAAACTGGCATGCGATCGCTCGATCAGTGCAAAGCTTTGAAGTGCTGCGGCGTACATGTGCATGTTGTGTTGCAATCATGCATGCATGGGTCAATTCGTTAACTTTCGTTAAGTTTGCGGTGGATTGCATGTTCTCTTAACTTACGTTAAGGGATTGATACGCAAAATTCTCATGCATGTAATCCGGTGCGGCGCTCAAGGCCGGTTATTTGCTGCAACGCAACTCACGCAGAACCCAATCTTCTTCCGCATCAGCACCTTCGACACAACTTAGTGCAGCTACCTCCGCATCCATGCATGATCTGCTCCATGAGGTCCCGCTCCGCATCCAGGTCGCGCAGCACTTGTTCCTGCCGCGCCCTGTAAGCAGAACCAGTCGCCATTCTGTATCAATGTTTCGCCGGCAGCTCCTCGCGCGACCGTCATTTGTCTTGGAAATTACGGTCACATTTCTCAAAGCTCTCCCCCATGGTCGAAAGCGTGACGGACCTGACGGAACGGGGTCAAATAGAATCAGTGATTTTGGGACCTGGGCCGGGGATGCTGTTGGAATGGCTGCCGTGGATAGATTCAAAGGCGATATCCTGGGCTAGTTTTCTTTCGACCAATCGTCGATGGGGAAGCTCCGGGTCAAAACTCAAAACCTCGTCACCGTGACGTCAGCCCTTCCAACAGCACCCCCGACCCCGATCCCAAAAGTACTGAATCTTCTTGACCCCGCTCTGACGGTAGGCGGTGTCACGAACGCGGGCCCGGCACTTCTCCGCTTCCGCTTCCGCTGCGAGGTGGCGCTGCTGTTCAACCAGCGCGGCGCGCTCGGCTTCCAGCAGCCGCTTGTTCCGCTCCTATCCTTCGTGTGCCCGCTGTTGAGCTCAAAGGGCCTCGATTCTGGAAGCAGAAAATCAGCGTGAAAAAATTGTAGCCAGTGTGAGCGTGGACGAAAGGGAGCAGTGAAACGGGGGTGAGACATTGAGCAATCGGACTGACGCACAAAATGACCCTTTGTTCGATTTGCCATTGCACGTGAAGTTGACCGGCGGCGATCCGGCATCTTACACAAGCAGCTCCATTCAGGCAGAGTCATTATATATCAACAAATGGCACATTGTGGGAGAAATTCGCTGATCAACCAGCGACCTCGACCTGGCCTTCCTCTTCTCCTGCCACAGAATATACAGGTTCCTCGTAGTTTCGGGTAGTCTGAGCACCCAGATGCAAATACCTGGCTTCCCAAATACGGCTCCTATATGTCGTTTGCTTCCGTTCCGCAGATCTGTGGCATCTCATCTACACGCATACCCCTTTCAACCTTTCCTATGGGCAAGTTGTCTGCGCGGGCGCTACTTGCTTCGTCGTTGGATTCAGCCCGGAAACTAGGGCACCTCTGATTTCTCTTGCATTTAGTTGCAGGGCAATATGTCGCAGAGAGGCGTGCTGACTGGAGCGGGAAAGCTGAGCGTCCTCCGTTTCGCCCTCTGGAGGGTTCAGGAATCGGAGGCGGCCATCCCGGTGAAGGACTTCGTACTGGCCATCTGCAGGTCCGTACTAGGGGCGCGCAGATGTTTGAAGAAACTTTGCAGACAGTGTGCTGAACGTAACGGAAAGATTCTGCTTTTGGACGGTATGCTGCCTTTGATGAAACTTCGTACCGAAGACACTGACGCAAAAGTATCAGAGGTACGCGGCCCGTACTGCGGATCAATGCGGCTCCAGTATCGGATCTAACAGCTTGATTTGAAAGAGAGAAAAGGCGCCGTTCTCCGAGTTGCTTCTACTGATTAAGCTGTCAGCGTTCACGGCTGAGAAGTTCTTAAAATTAATAATTGCCCGTCAGCCGCAGCTTTCTGACGTCCTTCTTGAACCTACACGTAGGTGTACACCTCTAAAACTCATTCGTAAACGAGCAGTTGCATTTTGATAAGTTTCACCACTGCTCACTTCCTCCGTCTCCATTGCAGGGACATGTGCGAAGCCGCTGTTCAGGCGCTCGAGGAGCGAGCTAAGACCCTACAAGATGACCTCTCGCCCAACTTACCCCTCAAGAGGACGGACCTGGAGCTACGTGTCAGAACGGCTGAGAACGAGCTCCGGGACCTGTGGATGTCTCTCGCCCCCCGGGGGCTTCCCCGAGCCCTTGCTGACGTCTTCGAGGAAAAGGTGCGTCAAGTCGTTTCTGCTTGAAGACACTACAGCGGTTGATGTAAAGCTACCGACAGCATCTAGGGCTATTAGGTCATGGTTCGCTAGTCTTTGTTAGAAGCTGCTACGAAGCGCAACGTGAAAGGTCCGTACTTGTGAATGTAACCAGCACGCCCTGATTGTAAGGTGAAAATGCTGGTGAATCCAGACTAGATCAGCCTGTGGTTGTGTGAGGAGAAGCTTGTTGTGATATATGTTGTCGCGTCCCGCTCTCAACCCGTTTTTGGAAGAACGCGTGTGCTGCCGCCAAGGTCCTTGACAAGGAGAAGGCTTCAGAGGTGAAACCTCGACTCATCAGGGTCTAAACGTGTGTTGACAACAAACTTGATCACGCTCACCGGACTGAGTAAGGTTAGCAATGGCTGCGATCAGGCAGGTCAGGGTGCGGTAGCAATGAAGTGCCTTCGCTTTGCGCAGGTGACGATAGCGCTGGAGGGCTTCGAATCCGCCCTGCGCACGCTAAATGACGCAGCGATCGAAACCAAAGGCAAGAAGGACCTGGACGCCACCATCAATCAGATGGAGGCCGAAATGGCCGCCGCTCTCGCCCCGGAAAAGCTCCCTTGGGATAACGAGAGCCTAGTCGAAACCGGGGAGAAGATACATGAGAAAGCTGTGAGCGCTCTTTTCGCGAAGTTTGGAGGGCTGTCCCCAGAAGACGCGACGGAGCTTTACACGACTGTTCGGCGAGACGCTTTCCGGCAGCGCATGGCGGCGTACGAGACGAAGCACGAGACGGCAAAGGCCAGGGTGAACGGGTCGGCTCTCGAGAGAGCTTGGTAGCAGGGTTTACAACAGTACAACGGCTTCGCTGCGGTTCCCCTAGAAAGTGAACAGTAAATAAGGTAGAACCAGATTACGACTCCTCACCCACATTCTTCGAAAAATGTGCAGCTTATCGAGAGATCCCTTTCTGTCCCACATGTTCACCCCAGGAAAAGGAGGGTCACGCACTGCCAGGCCCGCCGCAGTTGTGGATTTCGCACCATGTGCTGAAATTCCGAGTCGTTTTTCTATCTGCAGGTTTGACGTGCGGTAAGTTGATCAACACATCCTACTAAAATGCAGGCTGCGTTGGAGTCCGCGGAGAGGAAGGTCGACAGAAGTACGAGCGCCAAGTTCGCGGCGCTCAAGCAGATGCTCGCGGCGGCGGAGGGCGAGGTCGCCAAAATCCGCCAGCAGAACGCCGACTGAGAACGGAAATTGAAAGACACGCTCGCGGGCTTCTCTACGAGCCTCGCAGAACAAGCACGCGCGCAGCAGGCCGCCTTCTCGAGCTCCATAACGGGCGTGACCCAGATGATGAACCGGGCTCCCCCCGCCTGCTTTTCCCCCGGGTTCGACTCGTTCTCCGACTTTGACTGCGGCGGCGGCGCGGGGTTTGCGCCGGCTCGGAACCGGAGGGCGGCCGCGCCCAGCGCGCGGCCGCAGAGTTCGTGGAACGCGTTCCAGCAGAGCTACGCCCGCAGTCACCCTGGGAGTACCCCTCAGCAGCGAGGATAGGTCTATAGGTCACCTAAAGACTACATGTTCCAAAAGTGCAGGAATTCTCGTGTGCGGTCTGGAAGGCGAACAAGGTCTCCGTTAAAACTTTCCTTCGTCATTTGTCGACGAACCAAGCTGTTAAGCTAGTGTTGCGAAGGGCAAAGGCAACCTTGGTCCGTATAAAGCTGCTTTCAAACTCAGCTTCGTACTTTTAAAACAACATCGCATCAACCATGTGTTTGGATTCGAGTTGGACATCCAGTGGCCCTTCAAAAGGGGAGCCGCCAAGAGGAGGTTTCCGTTACATTCGGGTCGTAGATCAAGTTCGTCTGTGCACTTAAGAATCTGCCCAACTGTAGTGGCCATCAACGCATCGGTGCACGGACCAAACGGGGACCAAACTCAAAAGAATGTGCCCAGAGACTCGTGCAATCATTAGAAGTGCTGCCACGCAAGGCACTGATTTCAAAGATCTGACAGATTGGATTTTCGTTTCGAACGAATCGAAGTGAAGCATACTCGATTGCAACACGCCTCACAAGATTGAAACTGTCTACCGTACCGACGGGTCGGGGCTAATCTACATCTAGCAACCTTGAAAGCAATTCAACACAGTACACAATATTTGCCTGGAGTACCTAGTTATGTCCGGCTTTGCGGCTTGCGGCAACAATACAACAATGTCGCAATTCAACGTCGATCTTTGCATGGTTCGTCAATTTTTACCTCGCTCAACGTATTGTTGGAGAAAACGCATCCTTGGTTCTATGGTCCTAGCAAGCGCTGCCCGAAGCTGCGGTTCCGAAGGAGACAGGATTAAGGCGGAAGCCACTAGTCCTGGTCGCTCCATTTGAGATTCCTTCTGGCTGACAGTAACCTGATAGAAATGCTGACATAGGCTTTCCGCCTTCTTGCAGTACTTGGCCTGACAGGTTTCAAGGGGACTGCACAGGCTGCAGACATAAAGGCTGTGACTTGCGAACGTGCCTCGAACGTGGTATAGCTGAGTGTGAAAGAAATGATCAGAGTTATATTGACAACCGGGCCGAGAACTACGTACGACCCTACTGACGAGCTTGTTGAGATAGAGAGAATGAGCGAACGCTGAGACGCACCTTAGGTATGACAATGCTGATCAAGCACCGCTTACAGCTCAGCCCAGGCTCCTCGAGTCGGGCGCGGAGGCGCGGCCCGCGGCGGCTGCGCCAGACAGATAGTTTTCCCCGGGCGTTGGCTAACAATCAGCGAGGAGAACCGGCAAATCTACGGGAAAGTCGCGCCGCCAAGTTGCGGCCAGGTTTTGAAACCTAAGATCGAACGCTTGGGCGAACGGCAGCTTCTTGTTGACGCCTCGGTGCCCGGTGGATGCGTCAGTTCGGCGGGAACAAAATGATCAACCGCCACTTCGGAATTTCAAGAGCACTGCTGAAGAAACTGCAGAAAGCTGCAACTAGGACCTAAAGTAAAGTTCTGCAAGCGCAGAAGGCTGCTTCAACTGGCTTGCTCTGGCATGATGCTCCCTTCTGATCGCTCGCGAGTGTATTATACACCTAGCGTAAACAGCGCAGCAAGATGTTCAAGGAACTTTCTTCAAGGCAGCCTTCCAACAGGCCTGGCGATCCTGGTCGTGTCCTGAGAGCGTAAAATGAACTGTACAAGCATTGGATATATGTAGCAAGGCTCGGGGAGCACAGGGTCAACCTGTTGGAGTCTCAGCTTGAGAGTTCAAGCGATTCTACGCGTCCAAAGGTGCTTCCTTTGATACAAGCAGGTGTGCGACAAGCAAGTACAGATTATGGCTCGGCGAGACAAGCCTGTGAACATGCCCATGTGGCTACCCTTCACGGTAGACTCGTGGGACAGGGTCTCCTGTCATGGCAAGCGCCACCACTTTCTAACCCACGCCCATACAGGTCAGTTTCTTGGGCCCCAGGCTGCTTTCTTGTTGGTACTCAGTCGCTCTGGCTGTACCTCTGTTCATGTTTTTACCGCTGGTGATAGGTATGCTGCTCTTTGTTGGAACCCCGCCGCAAGTAAACGTTGCGCTTATCAGCCGACACCTGTCAAAGAAGAGGTGCTTGCGGTTTACAAGCCTTGTTAGTGTCTCTACTAAGTCAAGTACACTGTCATGCTTTTAGTTTCTTTCAGCGGGAATGTTAAGGGTGGGTTCTTTCTGCAGATCACATGGCGGGGTTGGCCTCCTTCCGGACCGCAGACCGGACCATCTACTGCTCTCGGACGACCAGGGATCTGGTGGTGTGCCACTTTCCGCAGGTGAGCTGTCGATTGCGAATGGAAGCTAAGTTGTCTTTTCGGTAGTAGTGCAAAGCAAGGCAGGTATGGGGTATGAACTTTGTTGGAGCGAGCTAAGGCAACTCAGTTGGTTGCATCCCGTTGCCAGTTGTTGCTCCTTGTCACTAGAATCACATGTCGCCAGCTGTCGACATAGACTATTCTGCAACATGTGTTCAGGGGTAAACGATGCCCACCAGACAACTTCTTGCTGGGTGGTCTGGGCTTTAAATACCATCTCTTGCTCACCAGCTTTTCTCCATCTCTGCGCGTATACTGATCAAATACAATGATCTCCCTTTCCTTTCCAGCTTGGGAATGCCAAGTTCTGCTATCTAGAGGTCGATGGCGGCGAGATGATACTGGAAGATGAAGACAAAGCGTTCAACATAAGCGTTCGTGCGTTTGATGCCAACCATTGCCCCGGTAAGCAGCAACCAGATCCTCTTATCTTGCTGGACAATAAAAAATCCTTGAATTGATATCTTGTCCCCCCTGATTGATCTGCAGGCCCAACTTTTGACCATCCGAGCAATGGACCCCTTTTATCTGGCATCATTGACAAACGCAGTTCTCTGTGCTGGTTTCAAGGGTCTGTTGGCGGTCTAGGGTGCCATTCTCTGCGCTGTTGTTGCAAAGCTTGACTTGTCATCTACCTAAGATCAGCGTGCCCCTCATTTGGGCACTGGTGCAAGCTCACAGTCTAACAAGCAGTGGGAACAATCCTCGCGCAGTCACCGCGCTGAAGCATTGCCGTTTCTTTGCAGGCGCCATCATGCTCCTGTTCTATGTCGAGGACCATGGGTATGTGCTCCACACAGGGGACGCTCGGTTGGCAGAGGCCAGAGTGGTGCGGCCTGTCAAGGCCTTTCTGCGGAGGCGGGTAAGTTTCGAATATATCACCTGCGCATATCATCAATCATCATCAGCATCAATCATCAATCATCATAAATCAACAGGGAAATCTCCCAGACTGAAAAGAACTGCTTGCACTGAACAGAGATCGTTGGAGGGAAAATGATGATCTGTCTTCGGGAACGGGCTGTGTAGTCACAGAGACGTCTAGAGTCAATTTCGCTTGGATTTGAGATAATCGGTGGCAATCTGAGCTGGGCATAAGTGGATAGACTTAATGTTGTGATCATGGAGCCATGGGGCACCTGCCAAAGCAGGAGAACCCTCCTGTCTTTTGGTGCACATGAGCTTAATCAATCTTCATTCTTTGGCTGGAAGCTCGTACTTTATGTCCGGTGCATTGTTGCTTGCGTCCAAGCCCCTGCTGACATCACTCTCTTGCCAAAGGGCGGCAGCACTTCCCGCATGCCGAAGAGTCCTCACTCCAGATGCCCTGAGTACGCCGCAACAACAAAGTGTTGGTTGTATTCTTGCAGACTCTCCTTTTCGTAAAAGAGACGTCTTGTACACTCTGCCAATGCCTAGTTTCACCCCGATGAGGCGCTCCTTGTTTGTTGGCAGCCTCACTCGAAGGTGTTCTGAACCTACGAGGCAGGCATCGGACCTCTAACTCTCAGTCCTCTCCTTCGTCGACATCAGCGTTCCCTTTCCCCTGCAGCCGTTGGAGTGCCTGTTCATGGACTGCACATACGGCGACAAAGCATACGGCTTCCCAACCAAAGAGGACGCGGTGCGTCAGGTGTGTGACGTCATCGCACGTCACTCGGAGGACGGCCAGCAGGTGTTCTTGGCGTGCGACCAGCTGGGCATGGAGGAGGTGAGCGCGGGGATTTGGTCAAGGTTGAGGTTGATTTCTGGTCAAGGTTTCTGTTTCGAAATTGTAGGTTCGGATAAAACTGGTCTTCTTAGGTTTTGGGTGTGATTTTTGTGTTTGTGTTGGCTTGGTAGAGCGTCAGCAGTTTGGCTTTTGATTTAAACAAGCAGCGTAGAGTTCCAAAAACGTCTCGTTGGTGCCCGCAGTCGTGATGGTCAACTCACTGAGCCATTGCCCTTAGAGGCTGACGTCAGCCAACCCCGTACGCCCTTACTGAAAATCTGAGGCGCTTTAGGAGGCAGGTAGCTCAGGGCGCATCCAAGAGCTGAGAGCGCTTGAAACGCGGAGCCGAGTTAAACGAAGTAATCCAGTTCTTTTCATGGGCGCTTTTGCTCGAAAGCATCCTTACAGGATTTTAATGATTATTTACACCGATAAATCTTAGGAGCCGAGCGTTCTTCTGACTGACGCCGGCGCAGATGTGCGAACCGTATCCTTGATCCACGCAGACGCTGAGCAAGCCTCTACATGAGACACAGGCGCTCAGGAGTTTGGAAAATCAGGCAGGTCTGAGTGGTACTTTTCTGCAGGCGCAGCTGCTTATCATTCGTACTAGGAACTGTTGGCAGACTCTACACAGAGAGTCCCTGACATTCGAGCGATTCCTTGTACGGCGCGCAGGTGCTCGAGGGCGTCTTTGCCAAGTTCGGCTGCGGCTTCTGGGTGGACCGCAGCAACGCGTCGGCGTCGGCACGAACCTGGTGAGCCGCGCGCGCAGCAGAGACAGATGCGACAGGGAACGCTTGTTCGTGATCCATTATGTGCTGCCTTTGGTTAGAAACGTCTTGCAAGGCACACGGGCAGCACAGCTGTCATCCTTTGCTGCGCGTGGGGCCTTTAGCGGCCTTGCCTGAGGTTTTGGACCTTTTTTATTCATCATAACCGTATAGAGGACCAAGTTTGTGAAGGTTGATTGTCAACGTGTTCTTGAATTGTGGTTGAGAACGTGCCGCTGTAAATATTTGACGAGCACTAGACTCTCAGAGCGACTGTGCAACATTTCGTTGACTTACAGTCCCTGGGTTCCTTTGTGCGTATTCAATTGCTGTCTTGGCCTGAGGAGCATATTCGAGGTAGACTTTCGGGGGCCACATCTCGAGCAGGGCTCCTCAAAGCTCCACGGACAGGATTCGTAGAGACCGTTCCGCCGCTGTTGAGCTGACAGGGTGACGTCATCTTGTCGCAGGTGGGACGATCTGACGTTCATGCACCCGGAGTGGTTGGTGAACGAATCCAAGTCGACTCGCTTCCACGTGAGTGTTCTGCCCAATGTGACACTCACAAACCCCTGATAAGATTCGACTTTCTCTCTTTTGGCACCTTTGTCAACTGCGCCCAACGGGTAATCATTGAATTGAAGCTAATTTTGGATGTTTCTCACCAAGTCTCGAAGGATTCTTGTCCTGGCGTGTACTGCGGGGCAACGCCTTTTTACAAAGGTTTTTCCTAACCTGTTCCGATCTGCGGAGGCCTGTGATCAAGAACCACAGCAGTTCTCGGACTAGTTGCGCATAATTGATGACCTTAAGGCCACACTGGTTCAGGAACCGAGGCTATACTCGTCGTATGCTCGACATCTGTGCTTCAATCAGGGCGTCAGAAAAATCGTATGGTCCTTTCTAGAACGACTTCTTTGATCCAAATTGCGATCATAGTTCTGGGTCCGTTTACCAAGCAACGAACTCCAAACCACTTTGAGAGCCGTCTTTGTCGTCATTTCTTGTTGCCAGCGTCCCCTCTCCTCAACTACCTCTCCTTTCTTTCCTGAAGCATGCTGATCAAACTCTTACTTTTGACGCCCCCTGTCTCGCTTCCAGTTATGCGACGGCCGGGCCCTCGGCCGCCGCGCAGAAGAAGCCCAGCGCAAGGCCACAGGGACCGGGGGGGATCCCCCGGTTTTCATCCAGCCGTCCTCGTCTATCTGCAAAGTTTGCATTCTTTGCCCCATCGAAGCGATGTTCAGTGGCTCACCAGATTTCCACCCTCACGAGCCTCTTCTCTTTCCCTAAGCTGTGCGACGGTCGGGCGCTCGGTCTCCGCGCCAAGGAAGCTCAGCGCAAGGCCGCGAAGACCGGGGGGGATCCCCCGGTCTTCATCCGGCCGTCCTTCCGAGTTCTTCGTGCACGTTGAAGACCTGCCCGGTGATGCTGGAGAGGCTCTTCATTCTCATCCCTGCTCGCATTTTCCCTTCCAGTTGTGCGACGGCCGGGCCCTCGGCCGCCGTGCGGAAGAAGCCCAGCGCAAGGCCGTGGAGACCGGGGGGGATCCCCCGGTGTTCATCCGGCCGTCCTCCCAGTTCTTCGTGCACGGCGAGGACGTGCCCGGTGATGCTGAGAAGGCCCGGGGAATGGGCCTGCTGCCAGCAGTGCCTCCGGTGTGGCAGCAGCCCGTGGTCGCCCGGCAGGACCCGTTTGGCATCTACCGAGTGCTCTTCTCGATGCACTCATCGAGGTGGGAATCTGCCCACAAATGCGTCCTCCAAACACTGTTGCTGCTCCGATCCCTATCCCTATCCGATTTTTGAAGTGCTCCGTGATTGTTTGCTTTAGAGGGTGGCCATATCGGTTTGCGTAATAATCTGGACTGAATCGCTGGAGCCCGGGCTGAGCCCGTTCCTGCCTGCTGACGTCATTACAGGTCCGAGCTGATGCGCGCCGTCGAGATCCTGGCGCCCCGCCACGTGGTTCACTTCGTTGGCGAGATGGGCACCGAGCTTCGCACAGTGGTCGGGAGAGTTAGCGGGGGAGGCTTAAGTAGCACTTGGCTTGGGCCCGTCCGGCGGGACCTGGCGCCCGGTAGAGTGCCCCGGGCGGACGAGGGGGATCCCTCTGCTGACAGCGAGGATGAAGCTGCCGAGGGGGGGTCGCTGAAAGGGAGCCCGAGTAAAAGTCGTGGGGACTCGTCAGGGAATGAAAAGATGGGGGCGGCCGGAGACGAAGCGGAGGGGATGGTAACGAAAGGGGTTCTGGAAGGAACGCTTGGTCGGGAGGATGTGGATCCGACTCCCTCCCTCGAGAAGTGGGACGAGTTCGTGCCGGAAGCGCCGCCGTCCCCCCCCATGAATTTTGCGTCGTCGCAGGGGGGGGTGATTTGGAGGGCGAGGAAGGGGGGGGGAGGTTTCGGGGCAGTGTATTGAAGAGGTTCGAGGTAGCCAGGGGGGTGCTGGGGGTTTGCAAGTCGAGCTTGCCCCTTGTGGGGGTGTGGAACGGGGTGGAGAACCGGGGGGGTTGTTTACTGGGTTTCGAGACGATGTTCTCCAGGAAAGTGCATCGCAGGAAAGCGCTGGGCAAGCGAGCCCAATGACAATAAGTCCCAAAGGTTGTTCAGAAGGAAGCAGAAAAGACAAAGCGAAGGGTAGCCTTGCAAAAGAGAACATTCCCCCTGAATGTGACGGTTTGCCTGATCAGTCAAATTGCACGTCGGAGGTGGTTGAAGTCACGGGGCTTCCCCCGAGCGCAAGGCTGAAAGGTGGGAGTGCGGAGATTCCGGGGGAGGCGAGCGACCGGGAACGGAATGGAACGGAACGGAACGATGGTTTGAGGGAAGCTGCTCTAGAAACGGAGGGAAGACGAAAAGTGGGGGACGGGAGAAGAGAGGCAGACATTACGGACGGGGAAGACTCCTTCGGTCGGAAGCGGAATCGCAGCGGCGCGTTCCGGGCAGGCCAGAGAGAGTGCGAAAGTCACGATGCTAACGGCGGGAAATCGGTAGACCAAGGGGCGAGTCAAAGTCAGTTGGTGCGCGAAGGCACTGCAACACTAGGTAGTGATAGATGTGCGTTGAAGAGGAAGGCGCCAACTGTGCGCAGCCCAGCGCGCGCGATTCCCAAGAACGGGGCTATCTATCGTGCGTTTGAGCGGCAAGGAGTGGCACAGCCGATTCCCCTCCCACACCAAAGGACCAGAATCCGTTCATACTATTAGTGTGTAGCTTGTCGGAGCACCCGGACACTGACTCTCGATCGGTGGATGTCATTCAACACTTGCACGCAAGAGGTAACCTCGACTCCCCCTGATGTGGGTGAGAGTTCATGTGCCAGTTACCTCAGACCCAAAATATCTGGGTTATCAGGGACGTGAACAATTTTCTGGACGAATGCGGACTCATTTGCCTCAGTTGCAATCTGTACTACAAGCCTCGCCATGTACCACGTTATTGACAGTGATAACCGTCGGCCCAAATATGTGTTTTTTTATCTTGATGTTGTCAGCATATGAAACAATTGACCTTCCGAGTCATTATATGCAGCGCGGCCCAGCCGATGCTGCAGTTGACTTCGCACATTGAACTTCCTGTACACAGATGCATGGCAAACAGTCACTTAATGCACAACGCAGTGCACAATGTCAGCAAAGACAGGCCTCGTACATGCGCGGTTGCGCGATCATAATCAAGCACACAGGCCCGGGTCATCGCTCTTTGATCGCATTGAACACCAAGGATGCATGTAACTCATGTTGCGCTGTTTTGTTTCGTCAAAAGTTCCCTTAGCAGAGGAGTCAACAGGCTACAGCCTCACGTCGAATCTCGGGGACCCCCTCTACAAGCCGACTTGGAAGGGTCAGTGAGGAGCATCCCGCTATGGAAATGATGATAGATCGTTTGAGACTTATGTTGCTTCGCTGAACCTGGAAACAATAACAAGTGTGATCGCATGAACCGGTTTCAATTTCGCTTGAAAGTGTTCAGTCCGCAATCTACCTTTCATTTGCATGGTGCACCAAGAAACTCTGTTATACTGTTGGCTGGAGGTGGTCATGCACGGGCCAAGAAGGTCACCCTTCCACTACCAAGGCCTACAACTCGTACAGGGTCAGACCCGGTCTTGAACAGGGCTTCTAAATAATCTGGCACCAATGTTGAGAACTAGGTATGTGACTTGAGTGGTCAACTACAGCAAGAGGTGTAGAGAGAGGCCAGATGAAGCATCTCTTGTTGGGAAGAGAGACAGCACCAATTCAGGAGGGTAATTAAACGAGCAGATAGCAAGTAGTGACGCATATTTTAAACAAGCAAAGCAAACATCAGACTTCTGCCTGGCTCCATTCAGACTCACTAGAACTAAAACACAGGGGCCCATGCATCTTTGCTAGCATGAACCAGGCCCCTCTCAGTACTCGTCTCTCCGACGCTCGCTGTAACCTCCGCCGCTGCCGCCGCCATAACGATCGCCGCCGCCGCCCCCGCGAGGAGGCGAGCGGTCACGGTAGCCACCCCCACCGCCACCACCGCCATACCGGTCACCACCGCCTCCACCGTAACGGTCACTGATACCAGGAACGATCCGGGACACGTGTCAACAAGCCAACCGGCCGCATCCAAGAACAGGCCTCCAAAACACCAAAACAAAAAGGATATAAAGTCGGCAACCTTGTCGCGCTGGTCCTCCGCCAACCTAACAAAAGTGCAGGATTGGACAAAGGAGAACCGATTTCTGTAGCTGATTGTCCTCTCTTTTTAATGGCTTAACTCAATCGATGTTGTTTGGTTGACGGTGGTGCTCCTGGTGTGGTCGTTTCCCTGAACTCGGACCATATGTTTTGGAGTCAGGACAAATTAGGGTTCCCAATGATGTAAACTTACCTGCGACTTACCTGCAGAAGCCAGCACTCTCTTGTAGGGTTTTAGTAAGCAGCAGCATGGAACAAGTGACAGCTTGGACGAAGTAACCAAAGTAACACGCCATGGCCCCCTCCCACCCGCCACCTCCAGGAACAAACTTGCCACTCCAGCACCACGACCAAACTTGTCCAACTCCAACCACTCTGTCTCTTGCAGTCTTGGCAGTCTTGACGAAGAACAGGTGCTCGAAAGTGGACAGCCCCGCTCTCGATCTCTCTTGGAAAACCTCCAGAACCTTCCCGACCGAGTGTCCCTCTAGCATCACCCCAAAGTGCTTGCAAACTGAACCCTCGTGCTGATCAATTGGCTTTTCTGAGTATCGACAGGCAAGGGCTGCCCCTGTCTTTAAGCGTCTGGTGCTTCTTCGGGGACTCTTCATTCACACGTTCGCGATCGCTCAAACCCTCCCGCTGAAAGTTGGCACCTTGGCACAAGACCCCCTCTCCCCAACTGAGAAGAACTTGCATCTGCGAACTTGCATCCACTTCACGACTTGGCACGTTTCATCTCCACCAAGGCCATCAGCTGTGACCCCAGTCCTCATAACGCCTTGAACATGAACTCCAGCCTCCCCCATTGAACACTCGTGTCAGTCAGCAGGCGTCAGCAGGCTCCAGTGCACAAAATTCTGTCGTGTCACCTGCGGCCTCCTCCATAGCCTCCCCCACCGTAACCACCCCCACCGCCACCATAACCACCACCGCCGCCGCCTCCATAACCAGCCGAGGGACAATCACGAGCAAAGTGACCAGGCGCGCCACATTTGTAGCTGCAAGAGAGAAGAGAGGGATTGCGTGAGAGAATCCTTCTCATTGCACCAGATGGGAGACAGAAGGACAATATGTTTACCTAGATGGTAAATCAAGGACAAGGACGGCCCTCCCAGTCAAAGGCAAGCAGAAACGGAGGCCTTGATGCAATGAGACGAATCGTATTTCAGCAATTTGCATGTACATTGATCATTTGGACTAGTGCAGCAACTACCCATACAGCAACTACCCATACTGACAGCAAAGAATATCATCAGATAGATATTCAGAAGTGCTTGAGTCAAAGCGCCAGGGAGTGATTACAGTAAGGAGAATGTTATTTTGCTCCTTTTGAGCACAGGCATTCGATCATGACTGCATGTACTCACCACTCGTCACCGCCGCCCCCACGGCCGCCACCTCTGCCCCCAGGACCCCCCCTGTCATCAAACCTCCGCTGACCCTTCGGCTGAGCCTTGTTGACAGTGATGTTCCGTCCATCAAGCTCCTTCCCATGCAGCTCGTCAATAGCGTCTTGCATGGATCTGTCGTCCTTGAAGGTCACGAAGCCAAAGCCCCTGGACCGACCAGTCTCCCGCTCATTGACAACCTGAAACAAGGAATATTTGGTCAATAATGCACACAGTCTGATTTCAACAAACTCAAGTGGAACTGAAGCACATTGCGTCAAGGCATCAAGACAAATAACCGAGCAGTGCACCATTACCATCAACTCCAAATCCTGAAAATGACAGGGTACAATTCATGTTGCCTGGACACACAGAGCCTGATTCCAGTGCTGCAATCAACAAAATGGTTTGTTCAAATTTCAGGAAGAATTGAAAGCAAGCAAACACGCACAATCTTCACTGGCAAATTAGAACTGCAATCTGCGGGTAAAGAGACCATATCAAACATATTCTTCCAAAATCCTGTTGCAATCAAGTAAGGCGTTTCTAAACAAAATGCTCGAATCGGCCTCTCAACAAACAGAAGTATCTGAATGTAATCTGTAGCACAAGTAAAAGGTCAAATTGAGGAACTTGACACGACGGACCTTCAAAGCTGAATCAAATACTGACCTTGGCATCAGCAATATCTCCAAACTTGGAGAACGCATCCTCGAGGCCCCTATCGTCGGTGTTCCATGAGAGCCCGCCAACAAAGACCCTGAAATCCTCGTACGTGTCGTCACCCATGGCTCCTACTACAGAAGGGAAGCCCTACAGGAAGAAAGAAGGCGCAGAAGAATGGTGCGTCCGCCTGTCAATGAAAGCTCTAACTTAACCTTTGCTGGCGCTGACAGTGAGCGCGGCCCTGCCTGCCTTGCCCGTTGGAAAACAGAAAGGCGACGAGTCCTCTACAGCTCACTGCGGTCTAAGTTGGTCCCAGCCCCTGCGGGTGAGGAAGATACGAGCCAATCGACGGCTCTGGCATGTCTTAACGATATTTGAAGCCGAATGCTCCGTTCAATATGGCGCGAGTAGAACCAACTGATTCGATGGATATGTTGCGCACCCAGTCCCGAAGAGGATTGCTTTTTGACGAACTAGACCGCGAGTAAAACCTAGAATGGCAGCAGGAGAGCTCTGCCACCTGACGCCGTGGCGGCCGCCACGTCAGACCTGAGGTCTGGTCTGCAGCTGATGCTCTGGAGGATGGCAGCTGGGCGCCTTGGGGCCTGCTTCGAGAGTGGATGCATACGGGTGCTGGAGTTGCTGACTAAGGGGAGCCTTGCTGAGAGGTAGCCCTGAAACAAGGGGGGCCATGGTGTTTTGAAAGCCCATCCATTTTAGGGTTTGCGTACGTGATGGTTGTGTACAGCAGCCTTGGATCGTGCAAGCGTTTGTTCTTCTAGATTGTGAACTCCGAAGGCCCGCGAATGCGATTGCTATCATGGTGAGCCTTCATTTGCGAGCATTGCCTTGGTGCACCTTTTTAAAGAAGTGCAAGACCTCCATGAATCTTCCATGATGCATTGAGTTTCAATTGATAGAGTGCTTTTTTCTGCCGCCAGTAGCCTTTGTTCTCGTCAGATTCAATCGGAGTCCCACGCTGAAAGTTCACTTCCGAGCTCGACCACCACCACGTATTGAAAGTTTCATATTCTAGATTGCTTTCCTCTGCCGCCAGTAGCTCTTGTTATAATTCGATTGATTTGGAGGCCCACATTCAAAGTTTACTAGCGAGCTCGACAACCACCATGTATTTGAGGTTTTAAGATCTATCAAAAGTCAGGGTTGCCATGCCTAAATATTGACGAGTGCCTTCTCAAAGCATACCAAGGAACAGTGTTTCTGGATTAATTGACGATCAGAAGTTTTCAGTGGAAACTGTGGGCTGGCCAGGTATGGTTATTGCTGAGATACCTTCATTGGCACCTTGTTCCGAAATTGCCCCCCCTTGTTGCCTCCACAGACAGAGAGGAGTGATTGGATCACCAAGATGGAAATTTTGGACGCTTGTCTTTGCATCAAGGTCGTCAGATGGTGGCATGAATCAGAACCCCCCTCCAATTTCCCCCAGGTGTACCACTCAACCTTCACAGATGAAGAAGGGGCTCAGCAAGCCTGCGGGCTGACTATCTTCCCCCTTCGGACTAGCACACGTGGGCCAGCTGCTGCGATTGAGACAGGTGCGATTCTCTTCCGCCCAAGACCAAGGAGGTCATGTCTTTTGATTTATGAGTCTGTACCACTCCGCCATCAACCCACTTGCAAGTTGGATTCTTTTGAAACTTCATCTTCATCCACATCTTCATCCAGTAAACTCACTATCTACTTCAGGTCGATCCCCAAGAGGTGTCTCAGGCCAGAGTGACCATATTTCTGTACCCTTTCCCTGGGTTGTGTCTGGGTCGCAGGCAGAAGACACCCGGACGAAGCCCTGACTTGTCTCCAAGTCGAGTCCTGTTCCGCAGGTTTCGAAAGATCAGGATCAAGTGTCGCGGCCCCTCGCTTCCTTCGCCCGCCACAACCTTTCATGAACCGCAGCATTCTGTCGGCATTCCTGTGCTCGGAACCTGTGCCCTTCGCTCACCAGCTCTCTCGATCCTGGAACCTCGCAGGCAAGGAGGACATTCTCGACGAGGCGTTGACGTGCTTTCGCGCCAACGTCCTGTTCCGCAAGTTCGAGGTCAAGGGCTCCTCCGACAAGCTGCTGGTGTATCTCACGCTCTTTATCAGCCTGTGCCTGAAAAAGCTCGAAGGCTGCAAATCGGATGCGGAGGGTGTCAAAGTGCTCATCATGATGGGGCTTGACAAGTTTGCGCTCCCAGGGGAGCCGGGCTTCCCGCTGAACGCGCTGTTCAGCCCGGCCCGAACGAAAGACGAAGCAGGTGAGGGGTGCAACTTTATGCTACTTGCCAGCCCCGCAGAGAGGGGGCCTTGAGGTTTGATGAGTGGTCCAACGGTGTTGGACAGTCGGAGAACTTGGACTGGCTCGAATGGAAGAGGAGAATAGGTCAGGTTGAGAAACTCTGTATCCGTTTGGCGAAAACAGAGCATGCCGGCGCTGGCCTGAAGGTATTTCTTGATTCTCGTTTTCAAGTGACTGTTCAAGCAGCTTGCTTTGTCACAACGCTTGCTTAGTATCCGCTGAGCTCTTTCTTTCAGTGGAGTTAAAATTCTACTAAGAAAAGGATTTATTTACTTGCATACTCCAAAACGGTCCTGTGGGATTCCATTTCTTCCAACGGTTAAAAGAAAGTGCAAAAATACGTTCAAGTGGTCCACACGTTGATTCTTACTCCATGCTTTCGACGCTCCTTGAGTGGGCGTAACATTTGTTCCTGACGACAGCTTGTCTTCCACATATGCAGATCTGTTCCGGAGTTACTTGAAACAAGCAAGAGAAGAGACCAGTAGTCGGCTACTGGAAAAGTGTTTCAGCCCTGACGGCAGCCCTAACAAGTGGTGGCTCGCCTTTTCAAAACGGAAATTTATGAACCTTGCTTTGACATCCTAGTACCTGGTCCTGAGCATGCACTGCGGTGTGTTCAGCCCCATTCTTACTGTACATCGACCTTCTGATCAACGTCCGATATGTTCAACAAGGGGAGAACACAGACGAATGCACGTTGGTTTTACCGAAGCGACTGCGTGAAGCTTGCTTTGCTTGTTCTATAGTTTGCGAATCGAATCTCTAGCTTTGCGTTGCTCAGCTCCGAGGTTCAGCAGTTCAAGAGCTGCACCATCTCGTTTGCAATGATGACTCGCAGCTAGGAACACCTATTTTCAGTCCCGTATGTTACCCTTGAGCATGCATGGCGCGATCCAACCGAATAGGGTGTGCGCCCTTACACAATCATTCCTCCAGTGCAAGTCGTCCAGCCTAGTCTTCTCAGTCGTTGGAAAAATATTGGCTGGATCGATCATGCGGCATGCCAATATGTGTTGAATAGGCCATCATGCATGTTGTAGCGGCCACGAGGGTGCCGGCCCCAGAGCATGGTTGGATTCACATATTTATATACAAGTAGAATTCGAGCCGGATTATCGGCGGATCTTGCGGACTCACCGATCCCTTCAAGGCAATCGATTCTCGATACGTTCATGCAGTCATTTCTGAGGCGCCCGTGGCCTCGGTTGCTGTCAATGTTTTAATCAGTTTGTGCCACTGATGCGAAAGGCAGGCGTCTCATAATGGTAAGGCAATCAAGGCAAGCTCTGTCGCCTTCTGTAGTGATTCGATATAAGGGCCAGCTAGGTGCAGCTGCAGGCATCGTAGCTAGCCTGCGAATCTAGCTCTCAGGGCCTGACAGTGAGCCCAGCCTCATTCATGCGACCCACCGCACTATAATGGTTGCACTAAAGATAGCATAACGATGAATGCATTACGGTCTAGGCATCTCTAAATGTTTCTACTGAAAGTTGTACATTCGCAAGTGTCTTGAAGTGTCAGCCACGATCACTTTGCCATTCCCCTGTGGGCTTGTGGTCAACCAGTTCACCTTCTTCGCATGCCTCAAGCTAAGCAGGAGCGGTTTTGCAGTCTCCTTTCGAGCGCCTGAATACACCTGTCTTCCGTCCTCAGACCCGTCTCCGGAAGCACAAGATCGCGACTGACTCGGTCCTTCTCCCTCGCTCTCCCCCTCGGCCTCTCCCCGATTCTCAGCAGTTTCCTGCCACCGCCATAGATTTACACACCCATCATTTCCGCCTGAAATCAGAAACTCACCCGGGTCCCCGAATCGGGCAAATCCGGCATACGCTGCCACTGACTTATGCCCCCCGTGCACTGCTCCAAAGCAGCACCGCCGCCCAGGCACGCTCGTCTCCTCGTCCCCACCATTCCCAGCATCCTCCCGTTTCCTTCCGCTTTCGTCCGAGTTCCTATCACCCATCCTCGAGTTCTTTTGACTCTTTCCGTGTGAGCGCCCCCCGCCCTTTGCGCTCGCTGCCCCTCTCGAACTTGCGCTTTTACCTGACTGTTGCCTGTCTCGATAATCGAGGTCGTAGACTGCGACGGCCCCGTCCCCCTGGGACACAGCTGCCATGTGTCCAGCATCCGAAAACGAATCTTCCGGGGGGGTGGCGACCGAGTGAACCAGGGGGGGATTGAAGAGCTGAGTTGACGTTTCGGACCCTGCGCGGGCGTTTTCATTGAGGTCGAAGACCTGTAGAGGCCGGCCTTTGGAGAAATCCCAGGTCACCAGCCTGCATCACATCAGCGAGCAGGTCAGCACAGAACGACCTCACGCCCTTGTCCACTGACTTTTCTCGAAGACGAAATTTGGATACAATTTTACCAAGAACGCCGTCTGATGAGGGTAGTCCCACGACTGCTCAGCTGGTGGGCCAGCCGGGAAACCGTTCCTCGTTAATGTTTCATTCTTTGGCCCGAAAAATGGGCTTTGAACTGACAAAAGGAAAAGCGACCAACGGCTCTGAGAAGGTGCACAGCGTCTTGCTGAGGGCTACCAAGAGATACGTCAGTTTGATGCAAACTTCACCTCGAGCGAGTCTCGAGCCTGTGCCGTTTTACTGCCTGATCACGTCAATTTGCGCTTCTAAAGGTATCCAAGAAGTAGCTCCAGCCAGTAACGAGACAAACGGACGGCGTTCTCGAAGAAAACGGCGTTTGCTAGGTTGGATGGTGATTTGAAGACCATTCAACTAGTCTAATAGCAGAGGTCTGCAGTCAGCGACGTTTATGATACATGTTTGGCATCACCGTCCAAACCCTGTTCAATATGTCTACAGCATGCGTTGTTCTAGTGGTATGGTTGCAAAGAGAAGGCCACTGGAATCAAGGAGGTCCGGGACTGTTCTTACTTGGCATCCAGCCCCCCCGTCACCACTTCCCAGCTCTTCTTTGGATGGAACTGCACCCCGCTGCATATGTTTGTGTGGACCCCCCTGAGTGTCTTGAACACTGACCCCGTGGCCAGGTCCACTATTTTCACCTCCCCACTGTCATCCGCCGCAGCCAGGAACGTGCCCTTCCGGTTGACGGCCACCTGGTTGATTTCGTCGCGGTTGAACTCATAACTGCGAGTACAGGGAGAAATTGTTGTTGGTCGATCCCACCTGTAAGTTGATCGCCAAACTGTGTCTAAGAGGTTCCAATTCTTGTTAGAAGGACCATGAACCTTTGCTGACGATTGTGGTCCTGGACTCAGATAGGTTCAGGTGTGTACGGGGCCTAGGAAGTGGTGTTGTCCTTGCAGAGCAGCTGATGTTGGGGTCAGTTGGACATTCTCTTCCGAGTTGAATGAAACACCACCACCAGAGCATGGAGATATACCAGGCAAGCGCACGGACTGACTGAAGAATCAGGGAATCGAAATGCTGTTCTGGTCTGCCTGATCCCTGGGTTTTATATAAGGGACGCCCCACAAGAGCCCAGCAAGGGCCTAAGATCAATACACCAGGGGAAGAACTTCTAACAGTCGAATCATAAGAAATCATGAAGTTCGATACATTGCAAGTAAATGTGGGCGATTCCAAGATGATTTTCAAAGGCCCTTGAGGACATGCAGCCGCACCACTTGAATCAAAGCCCTGCCCTTACCTGGCAAAAGCGTCGCACGCCCCTCCCCCTCGAAAATCAAAGCCTCTGACAGTGGTGCCCGCCGCCGCAAAAAGCTGGTGCTCATGAGTCCTTGAGAAAGTGACCGATGTGACATCATTGTCTCCGAAACCCTCAAAAGTTTGGCAGCATTCTGATGTACGGAGGTCCCAGAGACGGGCGGTTGCGTCCTCGCTTCCAGACACCAAAAGCTGGCCCGTACCATTCACCTCGCAGCACAGGACAGAGGATGAATGGCCGGACAGGAGCTCAGGCTTTCGAAGGACGGACATTGGAATAGATTCTACTGTTGCCAGAGATCTACCAACAGGGAAAGCTCTGAGAAGTGCGAAAGACAACTTTGGTCCTGGATGCTCGCAGCAGCTCAGTCAAGAGTTAACAATGAACAAGCGCTACGTTGAAACCTGCGCTAGACTTTAGTGTTTGCTGCTCGTTGTGTGCATCTCATTCTCAATGCATGAAACGCTTCTTTTTATGAATCTTGGTAACAAAATTGTCGCGCACAGATTTGAAGATGGCTTCGGCAGTCAATGCAACATAAAATCGGTATCTTCAGCCGCCGGGATGTTTCTAGAAGCAGGAGGATCTTTTTGAAGCAACTGAGCACTGATATATTCACTTGAATACCGCCCGCTTATAAAGTCATGAACAGTTTTACGCAACGCTCCGATTGCTTGGCAAACGCAATTACAATTCCACGACACCTTTTACGCAGTTGAGCGCCCCCCAGCGCACCCCAGCGCCCCCATTGGGGCTTCCATCGTTTCTTCATTCTTCGTTCTTTAAAAACTTGTGGTACCACCAGATAGCACCACCCAGGAATCATTCGACGGTCATGCAGCTGATCCAAAAAGACCTTTGAGGGGCCCTGCCAGAATGCGGAGAAAGTTGCGATCATGGACAGTGCAAGGGCTCATGAAATGCTAGCTTCCAACCAGAAGTTGTCAAATGACAGCGCAAATACACTTCGATTCGAGGTTCCTTGGGGAAGTGCAAATACTTTGTTGATGTGGTGCACGTCTTTGAACTTTGGTCAGAAGAACGCATTCTACAATCTGGAAAGAGCATCATGAATTGCTGAGGGGTGGTAGTAGACCTGCAAAGTAAGACAAATTCTCGTTCTCTTAAAGTCCCCACAGAAAGCATGGTCGAAAGCTCTTGGTCAGCATAACACCTTGAAGATCATGGCATTTGCAATTTGCCACCAGGCGATAAGCGCTCTGGTGGTGCTGCTTATGCTGTCAGAACTTATAGCTGCTCAGGGTGCAGCAAAGCTAGAGAGGCAGAATAACTTTGGGCGCATTCAGCATGAAGTGTACGACCAGCTGCGGCCAGATGTGGAGCAATCGGCGCACACACTGCTGACAAAGAGGCAGGAGGTGGGTATCCGTATCTTTTAAGCGACCTTATGTTTGAACTAGAGGGCATCAACCAAGCGTGCTTCTTTGTCCTCTTGGTCATATCTGATGGCAAGATCTTATATCCGGCTGGGAGATTTCATAAAGATCCTTTCGATCATTGTGTGATACTGTCTCAGCGTGAGCTTGAGCCGGTGGGGGAGGGCAAACGGACGCTGCCACAATCTGTCATGCATGTTTTGTGACTGATATTCAAAGTGGTGATATTCTCAGTGTCCTGGGGCACAGGAAACAAAGTAAACAAGTACCCAAACAGATCAAAACGATACAAAGATGGTGCCGGAACCAGTCTCTAGCGAAAAGCTGGTGGACCTTGAGACCGATCGTAGCCTTCAATGTCAAAAGCCTCATCACTGTGAGCAGACTCTCAGCCGTGCAAGGCTCTCATGCACGGCTGACATTCAAGCCATGCGTAAAATGTCCTTGTCTTGAAGAGGTCTTCGAACAACACCTGTCGGAAAAGCAACAAACGCGGTCTTTCTCTGGGCAGCCGGAGGTTCTTTTGCTATTGTTTAGAGCAGCCAGTTTTGCTCAGCATGTACGATGCATGGTCTTTAGTGTTCACGAAACGGTCTCACCCCATTTGCTTTCTCCGGCCTTCCTCACTTCAGTCCAGCTACCGCCAAATTACTCAGACTGAAGCCACTCCCCTTGAAGCGCCTTCCCGACGAATCAGAGATTGTTCTCTTTGGTGTCACTAATAGCGAGTCCCCTCTAATCTCCAGTCTCTGAAGGTGCCTCTTGAGATCAATGTGGCCCTCCTCGGTTTCAACGGCGATGGGGCATACAACTTCCAGATTGATGAGAAGGAGCTGTCCGACTTCTTCACAAAGAGTTTGCCTGAGCACCGACCATCATGCTTGGAAACCGGCCAACCACTGGAGATCAGTTACCAACTCAAGTACACCGTGTTCCATGTGAGTCGCAGATCTCATTGTTTTGAGGCTTGCATATCTCCTCAACGAAGTAACCAACAAGCGTTTGTGGTCAGCCCGCAATTAGTCTTCTCGTCAGCTGCGCGACATGCAGGCCTTGGTTTTCAAATGCTGGAGAGTACTATAACTCTACCATCAATGGCAGCAGACTGAACTTCATGGAGCTACGGGTCACATGGTTCAGCGATAATATGGTTTAGAGTGATTAGAAAGGCTCAGTCGATTCTACAGATTTGATTGTCTTTCATCGACAACAGCCCCGAATCATGTGATGCAATACACTCACTGCTTTGAGGACACAAATCTAGACGTAGCTGGAGGATTACCTGCTTTTCTGTGTGCAGGTCTCTCCCAATCTAGTCACCTCACTTCAGAACACCATCAGGGCCTCCCTTGTGCTGACTGGAAAGGAGCTCGACCCGGATGTATACATGGTGAGTACTGACCATGCCCTCTATTTCGTGATACGTGAGGGAAAGGAAGGCTCAGGCCATCGTTGATATCCCCAGAATGACCACCTAGAGAGAATCTGGAAGGGTCAAGGCTCGTCATCGTTCCTGTGGACCTCGAAATTCTCATGTTAGTGCTCGATAGCCGTTATAATTTTATTTGGGATAATCAAGACACAAGCAACTATCTCGATGGTTTGAGTATAACTCATCCGGAAGGATGAAGACACAAGCAACTTTCTTAATGGGTTTGAGTATACATGTGACCCCTGTTACCTCCACTTGCTTCATATTGGAAGAAGCTCAGCAGTGGTCTTTACGTCAGCACTCTGTTTCTGGCTCATTGTCCGTTCAGTTTTTCTGACGACTAACCGCAATTGATGTGGAAGATTTCTGTTGCTCTGTAAGCACACGCTTCAATTCTGAATGTTCGCTTCTGTAAAACGGTTGTCCGACGTGAATCTGTGCACGTTCGATTGTAAGAGATGCTGGTGGTCTGCAAAGTGGGAAGGTCTCGACAAAAAATGACTCGGAAAGTCTCCTTCCCTCTACCTCTTGCACCTCCTTTCAAGCTTGAGACCTCCTTCACAAGCCCCATGAAAGAGCGGAGCATCCTGTAGAAGCGCGCTTGGCAAAGGGACAACGCCTTGCTTGCACCTAAGAAAGACATAGAAAGCATTTCTGGTAGGAACGGGATGATGCGTCTCCAGCAGTTGTCAACCTCGTCCCTCTTTTCCCGCAGGAGCTGCCCACATACGAGCTTAACACCACTGCGGTCGAAAAGCGCTTCGACGTCATCTACAAGTCCTACTTTGGCCAAAAGCTGACCCAATCGCAAGAAGGCGGGAACCCGGGGCCCGCAGTCATCTTCATTGCGAACTTTGACAAGGTGTGTTCGCAGCCACTTTGTTGATACAGATACAGAAGTGAAAGGTGGCTTGAAAAGTCGAGGGAATTGCTGTCCATATCGTTGTGTAAGCTACCGTAAGTTGGTGTTTTGCGACAGGCTCAATGACGGCGGGTTCGTCCCTATGTTCAAGCTTTCGTTATCTTGCACGGCGAGGCTTGAAGAAGAAAGCACAAGCACGAGGCTCGACACCGCTGCTTTTGGTCTCGCTGGTGCAAACAGCCACCAAAATCCACATCTAGAGATGTAACGACCAAAAGAACAGCGAAAATTTGAGGTCCTACTGCCGCCCCTGCAGTAGAATTGACAAGCCCCCATGATCCAGGATTTTAGTCGCTTCTTTTGTAAAAACTCCCGCTGTCGGTTTGCAGATGAAGATGAACCCCAACGATACGGCGGTTCCTCCGCCCATGTCGGGCGGGGTTCCGCTTAACGACGGCGGCTTCTTGTATCGGTACCGCTACATGAACAGCGGGCTAACGTCAGCCTGGCTCGGAGCTGGCAGGTGAGAAGACGCCTGACGCGAGACAAACCATTTTCAATGATTAATCGACTCTTGAGAAGCGAAGCGGGATTCCAACAAATGTAAATGAACGTCCAGAAAGACTTCAATGCAGGGTTCCTGCTTCGTATCCGCTTCCGCACGAGCTTCGTTCAGTGGCTGCCTTGCTGAAGCAACACCCAACCTCAATTCTCGGGCAACCTGAGCGGCGTGCTGAGCGGGCCTTGAAAAGCAACTGGCAAGTAGGCGAGATTGTTATCGGACTATACCTAGTGGATTCGTATCGACTTCTGGTGACCACTTCGGGTCGTGCTTCGATCAAACCCTGGAAGTTCTTCCTAGCAGCGGGATCGCCAAAAACGGTGCCCGGATCCATCTCGTCTTCCTCATCCAAGGTTCTCAGGGCTTACGAAGTCTTTGAATTTTGTGACTGACGTCACACCTCCTTTGCCCGCTGCAAAGACGCATATACAACTTGATGCAGACAATCTTCGCGAGCTGAACGGTTGCTGAGACACCTATCGCATCCTTGGTGTAATTACGCACCTCCGTTCCTTGTGTAATTACGCAGGTACGCAGTGGCCGACATTTCCGCCGGCCCCTGCTCTTACGGCCGGATCAGCGCCCCCGAGGGCGTGATCGGCCCGTTCACACTGCCCCGGTTGCGGCGGGTAATCATCCCCCGGTGGAAGACAGCGCTCGGGAGAGAAGAAACGGAGAAGGTGCGGCGGACCAAGTTCCGGGGACAGCTGTCGACGCTCGTGATGTCAGCGGTGCAGCACCTCATTGCACCCGACATCAGGTGGGCGAAAAAGGACCACATCGTCCCCTTCCCTGTTTTCTGTGTCCGCCTTCGACCAATTGGTCGATTGGTCACTTATATTCCTTCCTCGTCTGGGCTTTTTGCCTGCACCCAACAGATCCTAAGGCGTCAAAGGTCTACGAAGCCTGCAATCGATGAGGCTTACCAAAGTCTTGAATTGCTTGGATCCTCCCAGATTCGAGACCCTGGACTCGGCGGAACGGGTGCTGGTCCCGATCATCGTCCTGCGCAACCACGCGCTCTTCAACCCCTTCGTCCAGGGGCCCGAGGCGATTGACCTGCACCGGATGGAAACCGAGGTGAGCATGCCGGACTTGCTCAACAGACCGTTCAGCTCTTGTTCCATTCTGTAGATTTTCACTGGCCGCCACTGACTATCTTGTCGAAAATGCAACAGCCCTAAGCAACGCCAAGACTTCGATCACAGCTCTACAAAAGTGATGGGATCAATACGTTGATCAGAAGAGGCGCGCCTGCGCATCCTTCTCGTTTGGTCTTCTTGTCTTCGACCCCGGGTTGGATAATACCCGCTGCTCAGCTTGGCTTCGCAGCGGTATTCTGAGGGTGTTGCACAGAACCACAACGATCTGCGCTGGGTTCTACGAGTGTGTACTGAATTTCTTTGCTTTCGAGAAAGAGCCGTATGGGCCGTAAACCGTAAATGGGCCGGGGATATCATGCACCGTCATTAACATCCAAACGATTGGAGCTCATAATGAAAGGTCGGTGGCCGGAAAGGGCCGCAAATGTATGAGCGGGCTGCGATGCCCGCCTTTTCTGTTTCATGTGCACCTCAAAAGTGGCTATAAAACCTCAAAAGGTCCTGAAGCGTGCCCATCTGCGCCTCAGACTAGGACACTCGCAATGCTTTGAGTCACTTCTACCGAAGGAATGCTTGCTTTTCAAGACCTGGATCGAGCTGCCTTTTTGTAATCTTTGCATGTTGCGACGACTGGTCTACTTTGGGCCATGTTCAGTCGCTTGAGGTTCGCTGGTTATCGGTTGGGTGCACTCTTCGTGTTGCCGATCAGGTCGTGTTTTGCGTTTCTGGGCTTTTCCGTCGCTTCAGGCGTAGCGCCTCATAGATACCCATTTGCTAGCTGATGCTGGGAAAACCTACGGTGGCTGCGTCCCTCTTGTCCGAAAGTCCTGGCCAAAATTTCAGAGGGTTGCGCACAGTCGCAATCCATCCAGACGGTGCGCGCGCCTCTGATATCTCGGTTTTCTCCTCCATTGAGTAGAAAGTCGACTCCGCGACCATACACGTTTGTGACCCTGATTTAACCACACCCGCTAAAGTTTCATAGTCACTTCCAGGGATTTCCACTCGATCTTCATACGAAGTGGTCCTCAATGGCCACTGGTGTGACACAGTTTCTCCAGCGCACGTCTGTGGTGAAGAGTCCTACTTCAGAAGTTCAGACGTCTCGAAAGGAGAGTCCGAGCTAAGGCCTCGAGACATCTGAACCAAGATCCAGGATTTTCCAATGTCGATTTTGCATGCCATGACCACACACGTTCGAAGCTGAGCCTAAGGAGGGGCGGGCGACGTCAGACGACCGTAGTATGAGCGTCGGACTACGAGCGCTTTTTGAAAGTGATTTGCAACTTAAAGTGGCAATGAGACAAGAAAGATCTTGGAGCGCCCGTTTGCGCCTCACATGTCTCCGTGTAACTTTGAAGCTGCTGAAGGCTTGCCAGTTCGTCCAAAGTGCTTTGTTTGTTTCGGACCGAATCACGAGTCATGTCGTCAGGATCTGCACGGGTCATCCAAAGCAGAATAAGCAACGTCTCGGACCATCCCCTTTTGCTTCCATCTTTGCAGTCACTGAGTGCGCTGCTAAGTCTTTAGGTCCTGCATGGGAATATGCTATACGTCGTTTTCAGTTCTGGGCTTGCGTGGAAGCCTTGCACCCCACTCAAACTGTATTTGCAATCCTGGGCTGTTTGTTTGAAAGGCTAAGATGCGCAGCAGGATTGAGGTCGTTTTACTCGAAGCGCCTCGACGGAATCATGACTGCTGGCTGAAGCTGGAGCGAATTGAGGGTGGAAGTGTCCGTCTTGTCTGTGAGCCTTGTCCCCTCGAATGTGAGAGAGGATTCTTGAAATGCTAGAAACAAGAAGCCTCCGCATGCACCGTGCCCATCAAGTCGACGAGGAACAATACCGAGGCCTCCCTGCGTCGAATCTGATGAGCTTCATTTCTACCTTTGATTATACTGAACCCATTCTGGTATGGCCAGTCGAGTGCAGTGTAAGACTCGCTGCCTTCACGCTTTCTGATTGCGGATGGTCGACGTCCCACCAGATCAAATAAACGCTTGGAAGGGTTCTCAAGCGCTGGCCTTTTGGATTTCGGCTAAGTGTTTACGCTTGGAGCGTGGCAATGATGTTCTAAGCTTGTACCAAACCCGTTCCCGCTTTCGACAGCAGGGACCATGAGCAATAGGTCCTCCGAATGCCACGGTGGTTGATTGAGGGGGGACGCAGCTACCTTCGTAATAGTTGTTGACTCCGCAAGACTTGGCCTGGCAGCTTTAAGGCATGACGCACCAGTCAATCAGCTGCTTGATACTTTACATTCTGGCGGAATTCGATCAACCCTCACATCTTGTAAAATGTGCTGACGCGGCAATGATGATCATGAACGGGGCGTTTCCATCGGAACGCCTCACTCAGCTACAATCCCACGCTTTTGACGCCGCTCTATAGGATTGGAAACTACGATCCCTGTGATTTCGTTGGTCCCTGTGTTTTTCTTGGGCCTCAGTTTGAAAGCTTCGGGCTTGGAAAGCGCCGCTCCATTGTCTTTACTCAAAAGCCTGAGATTGTGGTTCTGTTAATATCTTCAAGGTCTCTTAAGCGCGATCGGATCATCAACCGAAAACTCAAGTCGTGGAGTCATCATCTTCTGTTGTCAGTGTCAAGTTGTCTTGAGTAAATCAGAAGGTACCCGGTGACCTATGGTTACGCTTCCAAATGAATCTACAAGTATCGCCACTATAAGATTGCGAGCTATATGAGGCGTCCTAGTGTAATGCTCATGGTAAGGTCCCGCAATGCTTTCCACGACAATTGCTAGCATGATGGGGGTCACGGACCCCTCAGTTTGAGCGCGGGCGCTTGTGCTTTCGGAGGTGCCAATGTGCAGCTGTACGCTCACTCTCAAGCGAGAACGCCGTCTTTCTTTCGATGTCGGTGGATGTCCTTGGCTGCTTGCTGCTTTGCTCTGTACTTGTTAGAATCAAATAGCGATGATGCGGAATTAGTTGCGGGGCACCTCCTTCGGCGCCTCAAGGCTCAGAATCTGCAGCATGACGCTTCCTTTCATAGATAGATCTAAGATTTCGTTTTTGGCGTCTCGTACGATCTTCTCTTAGCTTTCAATTGAGAGGTTGGTCGGAGGGCTTCCTCGGAGCTGGAACGCTGGGCCACAAGTATCTACACACGGAAAGCGGTTAGAAGTGACCACCAGTGGTTTGCCACATGTGCCAAATCGATTGCCTGAAGTATTCTCGCGGTTCAGGCTCGGACTGAGATTTTTTTATATTCGTCCAGACGTCCCTTCTGCTCAGTCGGCAAGGATAAGGTTCGGGCTCTGGCTGCCTGTGCGCCAGCTCATTGTCGCTTTCAAGCTTGACGCCGCTTTAAAGAGCATGGAAAGTAGCGGGTGACTTGAGCACTCCCCCTCATGCAGGGTGTGAACCAAGAACAGTGTTTCTGGGGCAAGACAAGGCCCTAACTTCTTTCTGTCTGTCTTGTGCCTTTGATCCAAGATCAGTTCTTCTCTCAACCTGGTCTTCATGAGTGGAACACGTTTGTGTATGAACCCTCTTTACAAGCCGCTGGCATTTTGATAGCATGTCTCGGTGTCTAGCACAGCACCTGTTTGCTGGTCAATGGTTGCAAGGAGCTTACTGCCTTTATTTCAGCCATCAGACTACTCTAGTGATGGCACCAATCCGTCCAAATCCGACTCTTCCACCGGATGGGAGTGGGGCTTTCTTGAGGAGTCTAGCAAGGCCAGTGCGAAAGGGTACCCCTGACTTCAAGATTCGCTTGCCTTTCAACCGTGTGTCAGCGTTGGAAGCAGTGCGTTTGGTCTTTGCTGGAAGCGCGTCTGTTTCCACTTGCAACGCCGCCTTCATTAAATGAGGATCAAGCCCTAGGTACTCAAACTCGACCTCAGGTCGAACGCCTGGGGCCTGACGCAAACAATGGCAGGGACACAGTCGACTTGTTCCACAAACGAGGTCAACTTGTGTTCCCCTTCGTCTCAATCCCTTCTGGATCTTTTAAAAAAATTCATCCCTGTTCAACCGAGCTGTACCCCTTTCTTTAACCCCGGATAAGCGTTTGGCCCCGCCGAATAAGAAGTCGTAAAGTGGACGCCGTCCTTTCGTTTATGAGCACGGTCAGCTGGCCATCCCCTCTGTGGTCCAATCTTTGAAAGACCCCACTCTTATCTTTGAAGACTTGCTAAACCTACCCTTAACCCGCAGATCGAACGCCTCGCTCAATCCAACCAAGAGGTTGGGGTCGTGGGTGCCATAAAATTCTTGCACAAGCAGTGCCAGCTGGCCGTTCCGCCTGCAATTTTTGCATTCAATCATAACGTCCCATCTTAACCCTTCCTAACCCTACCTCTGACCCGCCCTTAACCCGCAGATCAAGCGCCTGGCCCAGCCCTATCAAGAAGTCGTCCTCGTGGGCGCCGTTCACACACTACACGAGCACGGCCAGCTGGCCATCCCTTCTTTGGTATGATTAGTTCGTTGATAACCCCACTTTCTAATCGTCAAGAAGTTGCTAAACCCTCTCTTAACCCGCAGATCAAACGCCTCGCTCAACCCAACCAGGAAGTCGTGGTCGTCGGCGCGGTCCACTCACTACACGAGCACGGCCAGCTGGCGGTGGCTCTCGCCAAGGCGACCCGGGGCGCCTCCGTGCACGTGCCCAGTCCCGACAACCGCCAGCACACTATCGTTTCGAAAACGTATGTTGACGGGGCGGTGCTTATCGAGGAGATGCGGCACACTGCGGACGTCCTTGCAGCGGGGATGCTGGAGGTGGCGCATCCGGACGTGGCGAAGTCGTTCTTTGACCAGCCGGTATGGAACGCCCTTGACAGCTCGCCTTTGACATTTCTTAGCGCCCACATACACCTTGCTCTGGTGAGTGACAATGAGTTGTTCACACATGAGAATCTGCACATTGAGCTTTTGAGAAGTGCATGAAATGCTCGGTTGCGAGCAAGCCTACGAGCTCTGCAAAGATTTTTCAGAGGCACCGGGAGTCTTTGGGTGTCAATGCCTCGGTGTATAGTTAGCAAGAGGGTGTTCAGTCGTTCTCTGAATAGCGTTTGGGAATGCTCGACATTCAAGCTGATTGCTGCCGTGATCAATAGGGGGCCCCTCTGAAGTCTTTGGTAGATGATCCTTCTAGATGGTTCTTGGGCCACCTGTAAGAGATGAGGGAGATCACCAATTTGGTGGTATCGCTTTTGCCATTGTCATTCTCTCTGAAAGTGGATGATTCTAACCCCAGCAAATCAGGCATAAGCGCGATGGTTCTAAGAGGCGAGAGGAAGGGAACTTGCAGTTTGAAGATTGGTCGTCAAGGGGTGCTACCAATTCGACGAACTCGACAAAGTCGCAATCCCAAGCTCAAAACGAAGGAATGGCTCGGACGAGGGTAGTTCGAAGCGTTTCGCATGGAGTCGGCATAGATTTCGGCCATAAGAACCGGCCTTTCGTGCTCGGACTTTTGCAAATGTCCTATCTTACCCCGCTCAATCTCCGCTGAACTACTTCCCGCAATGTTGTAAGGTTTTTGCTTCTCCTTCACACCTGCAGACCACGGACGCTGCAGACGACGGCTCTGCGCGGGAGGAGCCTCCTAAGCGCGACGGCAAGCCCGGCGGGAAGAAGCAACCGGGGGAGAGGCGGAGGCTGGCGCAGAAGAGCCGGGGGCCGTCCCGAGGAACCAGGGTGGTGCCAGTGTAAGCGGTGTTCCCTTGTCTGGCTGTCAAAGGCATGAGCATCTGCATCTAGCTTCGGTCTGAACGGCGTTCTCTTGGCGTTTGGTGATTGGAAGTGCTTTCGCTTGCGTCCAGTCGGCAGAGAGCTGCTTGGAAGCGTTCCTCTCGCAAAGAAGAGATTCAACGGGCTAATGTTGCGGCTTTTGATGCGATGATCCTGGACTTTCAATCAAAGGGTCAGATCATAAGACTTGAGCTTTCCTTGAAAAGAATTTCCTGCGTGCAAGAGTGGTCGAAGAACCTGGGGTTGTTCACGTCATCATTTCCCGCGTTCCGCCCTCGAATTCTTTCAAAAGTTGAATTTGATTGCCAAGTGCCTCTCTTCGATGCCGTCACGTTGGAAGGGCACCCGCGGCGGGTGACGGCATGTAGTGCTTCGAGACACATCCACACGTTCGGCAGGTGCCTTCGGAAAGGCACCTTTCCAAAGCGATCGCATTCCGTTTGAAAGTGGTCTTTCGCCAGAAAAATTGCATGGAGTGCCAGTCCGACTAGAATCCGTTTAAACGGCAACCCTACATTTTGTGCTCCAGGTACGTACTGTCTTTAGCCGGTATGGACCAGGAGCTGCTCCTGGAGGGGGAGACGCTCTACGCCGCCAGCCCCCAGGCGGTGATCGTGCTGCAGACGAACGCCAACCGGAGCGTACCTACAAGGTGACTAATCACGGCTTTGTGAAGACGGTTCGAAACGCGAACACGTGCCCATAAAGGTCAGGTTGCTTCGAAGGCTGCCCAGTGCTCTTGCCGAGCTGAGCCTGAAATGTAACCTACAGTACCGGTCAAGGTTGCGTCTCAGGCTGAGCTCGAAAGTGCCGAAGAATACCGAGCCGACGGATAGTCTGACCTACGGTGGGGAGCCCACTTTGGTGTTTCTTGGAAGGGCCTGGTCTCCATCACCCGGTCTTCTCAAGGATTTTTTCAATGCTACAGAGTTTGTAGCCCGACATGTCACGGCAAGCGAACCATGATCCGCGAAAGCCAGATCTGCAACAACGTTCCCATTATTCAGCATTGCAGAAGGAACGTGTTGGTGAAGGAATTATCTACCGCTTATAGTACTGCACAGTCGCTGTCTCACAACCTGTTCAGCTCAATCTAACGACTTCAATCCTTTCGCATACATGAAGCGGAAGCTCTCAAAACAGCATTTCCGTCCACGCTCCGCAGCTACGTCTCCGAGAGCGAGATTATTCACATCAACCCGGCCGCCCCCACCCGGCACATCATCGCCGGGGTGGCGAGCGTGCTCAGCGGCCTGGCGGCGCCCCACGAGCGGTGGTCGGTGATCCGGAACCGGGCACAGGAAAACTGGATGTGGGCGAATGGGCATCATCCGTTTGGGCCGTTCTCCAACTCAGCGAACTGCTGCTCGACACGTCGCTGCGGAACGCCATCTTCTCGCGGGTGGACACGGCGATACGGGGTGTGCGGGACGCAGTGCTGGTGAGGAAAGTGGTTTCTAAGAGGAAGACAGTGGGGCTGTGATGAAACATGCCTCAGCTTTTCACCACCCCTGTTGTGGGTAGTTTATGGGATTTTGATCCAGTTCAGCTGAAAATGCGAGAATAGACTGGCTATTATGTTGTCGTCGCTCGCTCGATGCTCGTTCTCCAATTGTGAAATGTAGTTGTTCTGTGGATATGACTCTTTGGGTGCTGCGCTAACCCTGCGAGTGACGAGTGTCCACCGCTGCTTCGAAAACATTCGTTCGAGCATCTATTGCCGAATGTAGGCAAATGCAGTGTCACGTGCGGATCAACCCGTGCGCATTCAGAACCTTGATTCAGATTCCAAGTTGGTCCTTCGTCCATCTACAGGCAATTTGAGGAGTTCGCGAACGAGTTTTTGCGAACGCTGTTCGGCGGCAACGTCTCTGCTGTGCTCTACCCCCATGCTTATGCTTTGCGACGTAACCACACCCTGATTCTGATACCCACTCTTTACAGGCGATAGAAGAGTTTGCGAACGAGTATCTGCGAACGCCGCTCAGTACAAATGTTTCCGCTCCGCCTAGACCCTTGCACTGCACCTCTGCTGACGTTGTCACAACCCTGCGCTGATGCTACCTCCCTCTCATCCCCTCCTTTTTTTCGGGCGATCGAGGAGTTTGCAAACGCATATTTGAGGTCGCCGTTCGGCGCCAACGTGTCCGCCGCCCGACACTGTCGCCTAAGTCTCTGCACATACTTTGCTGACGTCATCATAATCCTGATGTGAAGCACCTACTAATCCATTCTCCCCCGAACAGGCGATAAAAGACTTTGCGAACGAGTATCTGCGGACGCCGTTCGGCCGCAACATGTCCGCACCACCCAGACCCGTTCGCATACTTCATTAGTAATATTTTGCTGACGTTATAAACCACTGACTGACACAAGCTCTGCTCACCTCTGACAGGCGATAGAAGAGTTTGCGAACGAGTACTTGCGGACGCCGTTCGGCGCCAACGTGTCTGCGCGACCCGCACCGGAGGCGTACAGCAGCCCGCTCCTGTGGATGGAGAAGCTCTACAGCGACCCGGAGCGGACCGTCGCGCCCCTGCCACACGCCACCGTTGAGCGGCTGCAAATGGAAATCAAGGTAGTCACAACTTCCGTGGGACCAATGCCTGCAAAGTCTTCATTGGATGAAGGCACTGGTGCCTTGTCTTCAAGTCTCTTCTGTCGGCCCGGTTGTGCTCGATCGATTCGTCTCTGACCTGCTTGCTCAGCAACTTACACGGTTTCTTAAGGTTGCTATCGATGCGAGCCGTCTGGTAGCACCTTGAATCGTGTCTTGCGGTCAAACAAATGGAGGGCCTGAAACCTCAATCCATCCTTCGTTGTGCTCCAGTAGCCCTGTCGGCTTTCTTCTTTGGGGAAAGTGACTGCGTTCTATCCCCTGGCGTCAGGTTCGGAGATGTTGCCGCCTGTTTCCCTAGCCAGATGCAGAACTCTTTTGGAATCAGGAGAGTCACTCCACTCCCGTGCGGGGAGCAACAAGAAGCCAAAAGCCACTCCCCTTTTGATTAGAATGTTACAAGCTTTGAAGGCGAATTTCATTGGGGCGTGCAGACGTGAGATACCTCTCAACACGGCTATTGTCCAAGAATTTTCTTGTAGTTCAGCGGCGGAGTAAATCCCAACCGATTATCATCGGACCTATTTGTCCCTGGAATTCGGCACTCTTATTCCGCCGGAGCTGGCCCACAAGATCCAGACGGAATGTTTAAGTCCACCCTTCGAACCTCACAACTCCAGACGGCAGGGTTCGGCAGACTAATCAGCGGCAAAGTGCGCTACAGCAAGGGGCTATGCCAATCTCTCAATCAGTCTGTTCTGCAATAACCCGACACGTGTGTGCTACTCCTCTGTTGCAGGACATTGAGGACCGGTTGGTGCTGTTGGGCGGGTTGCTGTACGAGCAAAACTTTGCGGACGCCCACAAGCAGTCGTCCAGCCTGCTCTGGACCGTCCGGGTGAGGGCCGTTACATCGCAGTTTTATCAGCAGTCACTGCAACGATCAAGACAGATTCGATGGTCCCTTCTGTCAGCTTTGCCGGAAAAGATGCTGCGGGTCAGGTTGTGTTGTAATGGCCCAAAAGCTTTGCGGGTAATTGGTGGTTTGAGGGTAGTCTTCTGCATGGTGATCAGAATCGATTCCCAGGCACAGATAGGATGCAAGCAATCGAAGAGATCAGGTGCGCGTCCAATTTTGTCAAATCTTGCACGGACCCTTTGAGATCCTCAATGCTGTAGCCGGAGCACAACCGTCCGGGAATCTAATCGACGCCGGAGTCGAAAATTAGAAGTCTTCGAAAGATACTCAATGGTTCAGTAGGTCCAACTGTTGGCTCAACCGACGGCCTTCGCTTGACAGCCCAGATTGAGTCAGCGCTACATCTTGCTGTCCCGCCATCACTCGACAGGCATTTACACTGTAGCAAACGCCTCTTTTGAGTCCGCTCAATCAGGAGCTCGAGAATTGACATCCGCTTCGCTCCGCCTTGCAGGGCTTCCGGGACTACGTGGATGCGCAACTAGAGGCGGCGAGGGACGGGCTGGCATGCTGCAAGGTCAAGCACAGCTTGCCTGTCGCGCCCACGTCGGATGCGTTCCTGTACGCGGGGATTTTAGCGGCGGGTCTGCTAGTGTACTTTGTCGTCATATTCTTCTCCACTCCGCAACGGTGACGATAACTCAATCAGGGACGCTTGATGTAATTCTTGCTGGGTAAATACAGAATTGGATTGCCTTTCCGGCATCAAGCTTGCTCCAAAGGCCTGTCTCGATTGGAAGAGTTGGCTCGTTTTGTTCGTGCAATAGTGGTGACGGGCGCGCCCCACCCCTTACTGCGTGCAACCATGTCTTCGCGGCAAAATACCCGATGTGAACGCAGACAATGACAACATGCTTCCTTGCGAAAATCCAGTCGAGTATTTTTGCAATGCGGGCGAAGGTTGTTCCGAAGCGACCCCGTCGACATGGCATGAAGGGCAATGACTTGTTGCAACCGCTGGGGTGCTTTTTGTAAGCACACCAGAGGCGGGTGATCCGGCATTCGCACAGAGCTGCCCCTTGGAATCTAGGATGGGGAGAAGTCTTGTCTATCTCCGAGTTGTGCAAGCGGCTTGGCCAAGTGTGGGTTTGCTCAGTGCCGATGTGCTGTTGGCATTGAAGGTCGCCTAAAGCTCGTTGGCTGATGCAAGTTTTGAGTCTTTTGTCTGGGAATTGCATGTGCACTTTCTGTTTCAAAGATTTTGTCGATCTCCAGATGTGATGGTCGGGTGATTCCGTACCATGTTGCTCGTAGTTTTCTTTCATGTAACGGAATCCGGTTGCTCGACCCCTGTGCATGTGAGCAGACTTTTAGATGCGGAACATGCTTGGCAGGACTCGTTTCAATGCTTGCCCGCCTTTTGGAGCCTCATCCTTGGTGAAGTGCATGCTTGAACTCTTTACTAAGCAAAGGCGAAGGCGTTGGTTGCGTGGAACCTCGTTCTTGCCAATGGGACTTCGGAGTGTAGCTTTGAAGCCGTTTAACTCTTCGTCACCGCGCATCGTTTCTAGGGAGCAATGAGGCAGAGCTTAGGGTTCCGTCCCATAAGCTGATGGCTGTGGTGCTGGCTGATGCTAAGGGCGTGCCAAAATCCCTTTTCTTTACATAGCCTCATTGCCTGACTGGATGTCTCTGCCCATGCGCGGGTGCGCCATGGATTTGCTGCAGTTGTTCTCCAAGCAGTCACCCACTTTTCTGGGTTGTTTTCGTCGCTTCCTGAACAGTCGTCATTCCGACCTTGAGGAGCGTGCTACATGTCAAATGATGCTGCCAACCAACGAACTGAGAGTCGTTCGGCCATATGATTGATCCGCTGAAGTCCGGACCCGCATAAGGATGTCAAATCTGCCCAGAAGTCCACATCTTGCCCGTCAATCCTTTGCCCAATCCTTTCGTGAGGACTCACCCGTTCGAAGAATACCGTCTCATCAGAGCTCTGATTTCAAAGGAGTCGCCGACTCTTTCCCATTTCGAGCTTGCGCTCTGCTTTCCCCGACAGCTATACGTTGACGACAATTTCGGTCCTCCTCAAAGAAAACCTGACCGAGTCTGTCCAACCCGGCTCACTGGGTTGGTTCTTGGTGGTCCCGTCCCACTTCGCAGCAATGACGACAACATTTTCTGAGGCGCCCGCACCTCAAGAGATGGCACTTTCGCCTTACCTACGCTACCAACCAGTCAAGTGATCCGGGTCGCCAAAACCGTCGCGCATCGTAACCATCCTTTGCAGGCATGATTTTGTGCCAACCCGTTGTTCTCCAATCACGATTGCGCTTGTTTGAACTCATGAAGTGCTTCTGCCACGCATCTTCGATCGAGCCTTTGCTCTCAACCTTGGAATTGAAAACGCTGTGCTTACGTTTGTCCAACTGGTCGACTGCACGGCAGTTGTGAATCTTGTGCTATACTTGGCATTCATGCAAAAGTGATGGAAGAGTGTTGAGGAATCTAGAAAGGCTCATGTATAGCAGGGCTTTGTGTCTGACCTCATACACTCGTTCGCTTCCTGCGACTCTTTGAGTAATGATTTGACAAGCCGCAATTCTGCTACTGCTCCCCCTTTGGGGATCCACCTAGCATACATGCCACTTGGGTGAGGCAATGCTGTCCACAGCAAGCTGAGCGGATCGGCTAATCCTCAGGTTCTTTCCAAGTAATCTGATGCCAGGGGGTCCGTAACGAATCAGAATAACGCCCGGTGACCTCGTGCGATCCTTGTGCGTATGATACAAGCGGATCACTGCTTTTCTGAAGGCAGGATGGAAATTTGTCTCAGCTTGGATTCGAAGTATTACTGAGCACTAAGGCATCCCAATGCAGGAGGCCGCGTCAGCTTGATGCCGGTTGTTACCATGAGGAACCAGACAGTGAGAATTCTCGCTTGAAAACGTCGAGACGTTCGCTCAGAGATAGCCTTGAGTCATTCGCGTCTAAGTTCTTAAGCTTCTGCTTGCACGATGCATATCACAGAAGTATCTTTGAACAAAGTAGTAGCACTTTCAGATTGCCCGGCGCTTTTAGAGACTCGTTCCAAAGTTAACCATGCAAAAACCGCCTGCGCCCCTCTACCTCAAGTTAATAACTTGAGAGGCAAGGATGCAGAAGTATCCCTGAGGCGGACATCTGGCCTCACAAACCCCACTTCAGGCAGACGCCACCGCAGATTCTCGTTTTGCCACTCAAACCTCAAACAGGCCATCCCTTTTGGTTCCCTGAATTCAATTGCGAGGAACCCGCCGGCAACAGTGGCAGGGATGACCACATGTCAACCTTTCTTCATGCTTTGTAGGCCTGGTAGTGCAGCATGACGGGAGCATGACTTGGCCTCGACACGGGGAGACCGTGAGAGGGGACACTTCGTCCCGCTTTCAATCCACAATGTGAAAACTAAGTCCTCTCGCTTGCGCACGTCAAGTTTTTTTACAGATCTCTGTATGTCAATAGATGCGTGTGAATTGTTTGGTCGTTCAGTCTTCTTTCCCAACGCAAATTTCTTATCCAAACATTCAAGACGGAAATGGTGGCAACCACTGTTCAAGAAGAACGTTTGCGTCGAGAGCGATTGACGCTTGATACTGCCGCTACCTGTGATCTTACTCTGTGACTCCAACGACGGACATTTGCAAGAGGGGAGCCTTTCGCGGTTATTTCTGGCTTCTTAAAACATCCACGTCAAATTCAATCTGGTGTCTTAGTATGTGCACATGCATGCGTCGAACGTTTCAGGTTTCTCCTCTTTCGAGTTTCGCTGTCCGGCGTTGTATTCAGGGCCACGCGCCCTTACTTGACATTGTCCCCGTGCATCTTGATGACCGTCCGGAGGCTCATCATCTTTGCTTTCATAGTGAAACGCATATTTACACGCAATTTCAGAGTTTCGCGTAGGGAAATGAGGGAAGGCAAGCGCTGGGTCTATTTTGCTTCCCACATCTGGATGTTACGCAGAAGCCAGAGCTGAGGCCGTTGCCTGATTATCATATCAAGGGGGGGGGGCGTCAACGTCCAGCCGCCAAAAGTGGTGTGCGTATTCTTCAACAATGGTAAAGATTCCAATTAACATCAGTGGAAACGGAAGATTGAGCAGCCCAAAACGCATGCAAGTAATCCAATCCGCTTCCTGATAGAACGCTGTTTGATTGTTCTTGGCGAACAATTCAGGTGGGCTGTAGCCAATGGTCGTCGGAAATTTCGATTAAACATGAATGGGCACCCACTTTCAATCATCCTTCGACACCTGACAATATATGCTGGTGGGGCGAGCAGGATGCTCTTCGGAGACTGATCTCAGAAGGTCCTCGGCTCTCCGTGGTTCTGATTCCCTCTTATACACCTTGACACCCATATTTCTGCTACTCTGCATCAGGCCTTGGCGGATTGTTCCTTCGCTCGTTGGCTCTTAGCAGAGTCGATAATATGTACAACATCTTGGGCTGCTTTGAGAAAAGGCTCAGATGGACGTGGTGGCAGTGCCAGCTCAAACCGCCTGTCGCTTGGTGTGGGCTGACCTCACGGATCTACCATCATGGGCGGTGTGAGACTGAGATTTTAGCGGCCTTAGGCGGCCTTAGCGGGCAGCAGCCAGTCTCTAGACAGTCCACTGTTTGTTGCTTATGAGCCCGGCCGCTCATTCAAACTTCGACGTTTTACCGGAAGTTCCTTTCGCGGCTTTCATTTGACAGCAATCCTTCTTGCAGGGGCCTTGTTTTGATGAAAAGCGCTCTTGCGTGCACCTTGGCTTTCGTAAGTGCTGCCTTGGTCCGGAGCCAGAGACGCCTGCCAGATTAGACGTCCCAGTTGTCTTTCTCTTACATTTCGACTTAACCCTTTGAGCGTTAAGCTTCCACGTACGATTTTGCCACCGCCCACTTGACGTCGATCTTGTTTATTGAATGAGGAGGCTTTTCTGCACAAGCCCGCGAGCGGTCGGAGACGTGCAAAGCAGAAAAGTGGTGGCAGACTCAGCCTGAGGATGTCGGTTCGACCGCAGCTTGTTCATCCCGGGTCCCACTGCGAAGCTGGTGTCAGACAAAGGAAACCCTTGAAACGCGTCTCGTTTGGCCTTTCTTTGAGCTCTGGTTTGCCACTTGCTCAAAGTCAAGGCAGAGATGTTGCCGAGGAGACCTTCGTAGAAAGTGCCGACGGGTTCACCTTTGGAATTTGAATGCTCAGAGCTTCAAGCACGGCACCTTTTGTCTGTGCTCTCGAGTCGCAAGATGGGAGGCATACGTAAAAGTGCGCGTAGGACTAAATTGTTTATCTCGTTTCTGGCTTGTCCCCTATTACAGCCTGGACTCAAGTCTCCAAGCTTAGTGCAATCCTTGGGTATCTTCCTCATTCCTATCGACCCAACTCAACAAATCAATCAAAAGAGGTGGGGGAGAGGTGGTATCCAGGAAGACAACCTTACCGGTGCGCTGTTCGTCGCTCTGTCAAAACGTCCACTGGTCGTATGCGTACTGAGCTTCACACAGTAGCTCTGATGGGTGCTGCCAAGCGCCCGATCCTGGGAATCTATCTTTCGGAAACCACGTGTACACTGAGTAGCGTTGCAATAGCATTCGCTCGCGTGTTCCTGCTAGCGATAGTCATGTCTCGCATTGGAACAGCGTCGCCATCGCAATATGTTGCTCTTCTTTGTCCAATGCAAGCGGCTGCCCTGTAACTTTGCTTGCGAT